CACCTGCCACAGACGCGCTTCTGTTAGAGCTGGCTGCTGCCGCTTTTGGCTGGGGACCCAACAAAACGCATTCGCTCAAAGCAAGGTGCAGATAGTTTCAAGGCCAAAAGAAAGAGTACATGGAACCAAACACTACTAAAGGCTTGAAATATAATTCTGCCCGACTCAGCCCGACTCAGCCGACAGGATTGTGTGTGTGTGTGTGCGTGCGTCGGGCTTGTTTCACCCTTGTCCGTTGCAGATTCAGTGAGTCCACCTATATAAATCTCTCAAACTCAGTGAAAGCAACTGAGAAGGAAGAAAAAGCACGCACAGCAAGCACGGTCACAACATGCTGTGGTTGTACCCATGGACATGCTACAAAATTGGCCGCCCGGAAGTTGTGAACAAACGACAGGATCCCCGCTTGCAGGTCCCTTTTGGGCTCTCATCCCCACCCCCCGAGTGGATTTCCAGACCAAAAACAAGAGCTGGCACTCGTTGTGCGACGCTTGAGTTGTGAAAAGTGCCCCCCTCCAAAAAAATGCTCCCGGTTTTTCGGCCCCACCCCCCTTTCCCCCAAACCCGCGGATTTAAGGGGCACCACAGCTGCCATCGCAGGTCAACGTGTTTTTTCACCTCAGCCCCCCTGCCGTGCCATCCTGGTACTTCACCTGAATCCGGTTCGTTCCTGGGTCCCTGGGGCCTATGAGTCGCAATCAAAAACCGGTATTAACATGGTCTATCCCCCAGAACCATGTAAAGAATTAAGAAGGCGGGCGCAGATATTTATGGCTGGGATCGTCCCTTACCTTCATCTACCCGAATCGGTTTTGATTGTGACTCATATGAAGACCAACGTAGGTTTAGGGGGTCAACCGATCCCCGTTGAATGAATGGCCTTGGGACCCAATTTTGATGACAACCCTTAGGCAAACAATGGCGGTCACATAAACCCCCATTGTTCTAATGTTGGTTTGGATCCAAAGGGAGTGTTGCCATACCTGGTGGGAATGCATGTTAATGTCATAACCTAAACCTAAAATGACCACTGTTAGCTTGCTTTAAGAAACTAAGGCGCTTAGGGTTGATATACAGCTAGACATTCGGTGGGAAAATCATGTGGCTATACACGCGTGTATTGCACCAGAAAGAGAAAAGCGGCCCCTGCCACGCCTTGCAAGAGAACCCGCGAAACCTATTGGCTCACGATGCTAAGAGGTGCTTCCATTTCCATTCTTTCCAGGGATCTCCTTTCCAGAAAACACCACAAACCCTGGGAAGACTCCTGGTTTTTGAAAAGAACGATGGTTGAAAAGAATGGGGAATCAACCCCTAGAACGATGGAAAAAGCTGATAAGATTCTGCTTCATACATCGCGAACCCTAAAATATACCCTGTCAACGTTGCCAAACCCACGAGAGGAAGTGTTCCTTTTAAAGGAAACATGGTTTTCCAGGAGCCCTCAGTCAGGTTCCATGCTAGTGTTACAGGGTAGCAGATGTTTCCAAGGCCAATAGCTCTGGGATGGTTGGGCAGAAGGTCTGAAAAGCTTCCGTTCTTCGGGTTGTGGCTGTCTGTGCTGCGCACGCTTCTCCGGAGCATTAGCATACGGTAGTTTGTGACGTTCACCATACCTTGCGCAGCACGCGCGGACGGACTTGAACTGGCTCACGCACAAGTCCTCAGCGCGCTTCACGCGAGACAGACACATGTAGGCACTGAGCTGCGCGTCTCGCGAGGGTGTGCCGTCCCAGAACCCAAGGTCTGCGGTGCAGGCGGGCCCGTATAGCTCCCATGAAGGAGTGCGCTGCTTCCTCCAATATCCACCTTGTTCCCCAGGGTTTAGATGCTTGGGAAGGCAACGAAGGGTCAAGTGGCAAATCCTCTGTGTCCCCCAACTGAACCGCCTCCCTTCGAGAGGTATTTGTCCCCAGCTGCACATGTGGGTTGAACCACCCCTCACGGGCAGTCCTTTTTAGACAAAGAAAAGCGCCTCCTAAAAAGGGTCCAAAAAGGGAACCACGTGGGTACCTCGTCTTCAAGGCTGGAGCCTTTCAAATGGTCAAAAAAAAAAACACTCACACTCAAAAAGGGTACCCAGCCCCATGCCCTGAAGCTCAACGATGGCCCAGATTCTCACCAAGGCCCCTGAAAGGGTTCAACCGCTTCCCATGAAAAGAATGGCAACCAATAGGCCCCAACTTAGATGATGGCAATCCCGAACGGTAAACAGTGGGTGTCTTTCTTTGAGGATACCCAATTTCTGGTGTTCAAAGGAAACCGAAAGAAAACCTAGCATTTTTTGGGGTGCCCCTCAAAAACACAGACGCGTATGAACCCAACCATTGCTTTGGCAAACCGATGACCACAAGGAGCCTAAAGAAAAGCAAAGCTTCAAGAGCTGTTGGTGGATTCTTGTCCAGAGTCTGGTCCATATTCAATCTAGCCCTGTGTCAATGAACTAATTTTAGAGGAGACCCCATCCTTCACCCCCAAAGGAGAGCCCGAAAAAAAAAAAAGAGGAAAAAAACAACTCAAGGGGGAGGGGGTGCGGGGTCCAGGACCCAACTCCATCCCCTTCGGAAAATGGATGAAGAAATAGAGATTTCCAGAGGTCCAACACCCCTCCCCCAATTCCGTTTTCTCGGGGGTTGGTCAATATGCCTAGCCCAAAATGACCATGAAAGTCATCGCTTTTGTGGTTTCCCTGGTGGCCGTCCCATGTGAAGGGCCTGTTGATCAACCCCCAAGTCATGATCACAAGGGAACGAACAAGAAAATGTCTAATGTGCAACTGGGTGTGCCTAGGGAACCTCCAGAATGATGTTTGCTTCCCCGAAAACCAGCCCCAAAACGGATTCCCTCAACAACAAATCAACCCAAGATCCCATGTGAAGGACCCGTTGATGAACCCCACATATATATATATATATATATATACAATAGGCGTATATACATAATGTATGCAATGCGCACATCCACGTATAGCATCTCTACTCTTGGTATGGTAGCAAAAAACTTTGTTTTTTGCAGACCCCCAGTAAAAATGAACAGAACCAAAAAACTAAAAAACCAAAAAACATGCCAAGAACAGCGATTATAGGTATGTACAAGGGGTGCGCGTCTTGGTCGCTGCCTCCACCGTGGGCTTCATCTGTGAGACGTCCCCCACATGGCTGCCCAGCCTCGGCGAAGCAACGGGGATGCAACGGGCCATGTCTTTATCTTCCATTTGGTTGAGCCCCCTGCAAAAAAAAAAGTCCAGTAGTGATAAATTCCGTTTAAAACCATTAAGGGAAAATAAAACATATTCTTAAGCAAATGGAAGTTAGTTATTTATTTAGGTAATTTATTTTCTATGTTATGTTATATTTACACAAAATAAAGCAATCCAAGAACCCTCCAACATGCCTTTTGAGCATACCCCAGCCCTCCTCTGATAAATAGGCGTTCATTTGGGGTCCGGGGTATGCTCAAAGGGTATGTTCGGTAAGGCTTCTTGGGCCCAAGGCAGCCGCAAAGGCGAGGACGCTGGTTGCAAATGACCACAACTCTGAAATGTATTCTCGGCCCCGGAGAAGAAAAAAAAAAGGATTGGCAGTTGCGATCGTTGCTTTTTTTCATCCACTGTACCCCAAAAACCAGCTGCAGTGATTGCAAAACGGAGCAACTTGGCTATCTAGGACCCATATTATTGTACTACAACAGCTTTCTTCCAGACAAAAAGCAACTCTCCCCAAAATTGTTATATATATTTCATAACCCTTCCTGCTCCACCTGGTTCCCCTCCGTGTTTGCCTGCCGCGCAGCGGTGCCGTCAGCACCAGCTATAATTCACAAACCGCAACAAGGCGAGTGAGGGATCCAATGCTATAGTTCGCCCCTAAGCATCACCCCACATGAGACTCACTTCAAATAGCCATCTTGAAAACCATCCGCTTGCACGGCATATGGAGAACCCTGTCAGAAGTCTTGGAAACGGGCGCCAAACATGTGAATCACGGACGCCACACACGTGACCCACAGACTGCATTTGCTCCCCAAAAGGACCTGGGCAAATTCGGGCCCGCTCCAGTGGAAAATGCGGGTTGTCCCCGCATCTCCTCCCCAAACCAACACTAATTAGCCCACCAGCAATATCGTCAGTTGCTAAAGTGTGAACCACGCAAATACATCACCTTGAAAATTGGAAGCCTGCAATCGCCTCCGCTGTTCATAGGCGTCCCCTTACCAAAAAACAAATATACATCCCGAAATCACCGGTTTACCAGGAATCCGCTACACCGGCTAGTAAATGCGATATTCAACGTGGCCAAAACGAATTTGTTTAAATATCTTGTTCCCCGCCCTGCAAAAAGAAAGGGCCGGATTTAGACGGCATCCTGAGATGAGTCGGGGCTGCAGGAAGGTATCGTCAGAGGCGTAATCATCAGGCAGTTGCTTTCTTGTCTCAAAACTACGGATTCCCAGAAACAAGTGATTTCCTCTTGGGATTCCCTTCGAAAACACGACGCTGACAACCGAAATATCCCCTGTTTTCTTTGGGTGCATTTTCTGTGGGGGGGAATTCAGCAGCAACCGCAGCCGCAGCTGCAGCAAGCAGCAGCTGCAGGCTCCACACGCTGGCTCGCAATTTCAGGCAAGACATGTGCGGGTGTCAAAACCGTTGGCGCCGTTTGAGTTCCCTTTAAAAACCCAACCTTAACCGTTTGAAGGGGGTACCCCCCGTCGATTTGTATGGGAAAGAAATGGTGGTTTTCACACCCATTGGAGGTCTGGAGTTAGGTTGTCGTCGTTCAGGGCAACCCCCCTCCAAAAAAAGAAAAAGGGGGCAACCACTTAAAGGGGTAGGGTACTTCGTAAGTGGGTAATAAACACGGTTCGATAACCCACAAAAGCCATAGCTATAAGTTATATAAGTCGCTATCTCACCATGGTTCTTACCCACTTACCTGAAGTGCCGAATCGATCCTTTTTGTAATGTAAGAACCCCCTGTTCATTAATATTGGGGTGTTCCCCTTCAGAAGTGATGAATCCCCACGAAAACTGGGGACACCCCCAATATGAATAAATGGGGGTTCTGCTTAATCCGGGGTCAACATGTTGAGCCCGCTTAAGAACCCCAGTTTATTACTAGGGGGGTGTGCCTGGGTTTAGTGGGGAGTTATCGCTTTCGGAAGGAAAAAACAAAACATTGATAAACAGGGGTTGATGAACCACTTGCCCAGTGGGTTGTTTCCTTGTTTCCACTTTCTTTGGGAAGTGTTCCGGTTCCTTTAAAGTCAACCAGCCAAAAAGACGGATGCCGATTATTTTTCCCATGGAAACCGGGCTGGGGTCTGGGCGCGTTCCAAACTGAGCGCGACACCAGGCAAGGCCCACGCGCCCCAGGGTCAGCATCCGATTGAAGCGAGGGCCTCACTCGCCGCCACCGTGTGAGGCGAAAAAGGCGCACAGGGTGGGTGGGAACTTTGCATTTGTGTCTTGCTTTTGCTTGTTGCAGCTGATTGTGTGTGTGTGTTCGTTGTTATGTGAACTTGCTTTTTTTTGGCGGGAGGATGGACCGAAATGCTGGACATCCTCGACTTTTTCGAGTTGGTTCTGCATCAACAAACTCATTGCAAGGTGACTTTTGAACTCCTCAGGTGCCGCTGTCGTGGTTGAAAACCGGGACCCCCGAAACCAACTCAAGCCACATGGATGGGATGCTCCCTGACTCCGTGCCAAAAAATACCCTGACTCCTGGGCCACAAACCCCGGCCAGGGAGCCCTTCTAAGAGCCCAACAGTGGAATCACCTTAGGTCTACCTTTGGGCATGGCAACACTTCGCGGTCCATTTGGATTCTGAAGGGCCGGCCGGGGTAGGTTTTGGAGACCTGTAATTCTTGTAATTCTTCAAGCACTGGGGTAGGTTTCGTGGAAAATCGATCCAAAAGTTCGAGATGCGGCGGTTCATGGACCGAATCGCCACGAGAAGCTGCTTCCCATCTTTCCGATGACAGGCATGAAACCATTCCGCCACGGCCCCGAGCGAGATCAAGGGAGAATATGCGGACCTATGGGCGCAAACAATGGCACCCTTTTTGGGATGGCTTGTTACAGGGAAACTAGTGGAAGCCACTCATTTTAGGGCTACCCCAAAAAGAGACAAACCCATATGCGAACATTTACAAGCCTGTGGAACGCAGGCGAACCTTCTCTCTTGAGTGGCTTAGAAACCCCCAAAAAAAGTGGTCCCTTCTGGCCTTCTGGTCTGTGAAAAAAAGTGGGGCTGCCCTCCACGGCGGCTTCGGGCTCAGGAAGAGGTAATCCCTTGAACCCTTCCCGAAATTATGTTCAACCGATTCCCATTATGTGAATAAGCCCAGGTGGTATGACAGCCCCGGAATTCCTGTGGAACCCTCCCTGAAAGCTATTTGGGAGACCCCAAAGCTTCCAGCTGTTGCGGAAAGCACATGGCCACACTCAAGAAAACCTTTTTGCGCAGTTGCCCAGTCTCCACTCCTTTGGCCAAGCAAAATGCCTCCGCCCCGCTTGAGACAGAGAGAGACACTCATCGATGCAGCTCGAGCACTTGGGCTCCCGGGCCGAGGCTCTTGAAGCCGTAGTTGAAGGCGGGGTTCTCCACCATCTCGGCCCGGAACCACCTCAGATCGAGCCGACCCCGATTTCCGAGACTTTTCTTGCGGCTTGTCGATGGTAAAACCCCCCGGCGAGCCCCGATGTCCGATTCTTTTTCCCGGCTCTTCTCCATGGCCCGGACACCGAAGTTGCGGTTGTTTTTTGCGCCCGGGCGCGAACATTGGGCAGAGCACGTCTCCGTAGCTTCTTGGGTCTGGACCATTTTGGCGAACCAGAAACCACATCGAAGGAACACCGAAAACTGAATCAAGACCAAAACGAAACCAAGGCCCGTTTTAGGGTTTGGAAACTGAGCCACTAAGACAACAAACCCGTATTCGGGATCAGGGAGGCAACATCATCCTGGGAGAAGGCCTTGTTTGGGCCTGAACCAGAAAACACTTGGAGCGGGTGTCCTTATCACCTTCAAGGGGTTCGAAGTGTCCCTACCCAAAGATTCTGGGGGTTGCACATACCCCGTTTAAAACTTGGCTGTGGCTCAAAAAACCGGTACCAAAATGGGTCGCCCTGGTAAGTGGAAACATGGACCAAAACCTGCGTGACCCCTCCTGTGGAAATTTGAGCCACACCCACAGCGTTTAAAAGCTGATAGCCTGGGAAGCCAAGGGGTATGAAGGGCTACTTCAAAGCTTGGAAAGATAATTACTGTGGACGGATGGAGTTCATTTCGCACCTAAGAACTCCTATGACTCGATTTCCCCTGTGAACATCGAGAACTCGGGTTGTCCAGTGCGATCCCAGCCCCAGCCCCCAACAAATGGGTTTGGGGTGGGGGGGGTTCAACTCCGAACCACTTGGCAAGGTGACCCATTTGAGTTGTACCAAAAAGGAAACCACACTCTTTTGCTTTTGGGGGGGTGGGGTGCTGAATTTGAAAACACACCCAAATGGCTAGGATGGTTGTCCTCAAACTTGAAACCAGTTTATTGGAACCCATTAAGCGCGTGCGAAGAATTGGCCCCTTTTTTTCCGCTGATTTCGAAGGGAGACCACCCCCTCCGAAAAAGGCACGAATCAACCGATTCCCATGAAAAGGATGGTGGACCCAATCGGATGATGACAATCCTTAGGTAAGCAATGGTGGTTGTATGAACCCAACCATTGTCTTAATGGCTGTTTGAATTGCAGAGAGTAATGTTGACCCCCAATTTTACTCAACCCCTGATTGTTAATAGGGGGGCGTCCCCGGGTGACATGCGGGGATTCAGCCCACTTTTTGGAGGGCACGACCCGCTTCGCGTCTCGGGGGGCCCAGGCCCCGTCCATGGGTTTCTCGATCGGTCAAGGCGCTGCATGGGAGGAAGGCCGTCAATGCTCGCAAGCTCCCGCCCGGCGGAGGTGAACCTCCGGATCAAAACAAGTGGGTAGTTCTGTCAAAAAGTGGGTAGTTCTGAAAAGCCATCCTCAGATTCAGGCCACAGGCATGCATGGAGAACATGCCCCTGGGTACAGCTAGGTCCTCCAGATTTGAGAGGTTAGAATAAGGGTACCAACTTTTTGCTGAAGTCTATTTTGGTAAGGGAACCCTCCCCCAAAAAGGGTAGAGAAGGGCATTACTGGAAGACCTGGGTGGATAATTCTGTCAAACAGGGTTCTACTTTTTGGCCACTTGCAAGGAAGACTTCAACTCAGCAGTGCTCGTTTCGGGGGAAATGACCCAATTCTGGGTTTGAGTGGAACAGGGATCCGGACGCAGTATACACCTGAACATTGCAACTTGTAAATGGAGGTGTCCCTTTCTGGTGGAAAAAGCCACATGTTTCAGATGGCTTCGCAAAATGGAGATCTTTTAAGGAGCCCTGTGGAAGGAACCCCTTACATGGAGCCCGAAAAGCCATCCTTGGAGAGCACTCTGGGGACTTGGACCTGGGGCACTTCCGTTTCCGTGAAAAGGTGAAGGGCAGAGGGCTTCGGAAGCTCGGACGCCGAGCTGAAGGAACCACTTCGGAAGCCAAATGGGCCTGGTCCTTCCTGGACCCCGGAAGCTGATCGGGTGGACGATGGTCCTCTTAAAAGGTACCGGAGGATCCTTACTTGGATGTCCATCCAGCTTAGTAGGCTATGACCATGTTGACCATGTTGCAACTTGGGGAACTGGGGTTGGTCCCCTTGCCCTGACGTCGGCACTGAACATCCAAGTAGCCGGCGGGATGTGTCCACGATTCAAAGTTGAAGCTGAAAGGGCGGCAGCTTAGGTCGGGCGGGCACCCTTGCCCGATCTAAGGCGACTCTACTGACCTCATAACCGTCTCAGTTGCCCCTTAGGAACCCAGAAATAGAACTTCAACCTTTTGGCACCTTGACCAAAAATGGGAACCCAACATGGGGAACCGGAAAAAAAAGGTTGCTTCGCTTTGGGCAAGTGAGCCATAGGAAACACACAGTTCTCATTGATTTCAGAAATGCCTGCTCAGTCTGTTGAAGAGGAGAGCTGGCTTTGGATTTCTCCTCTTAGGTTTGTAGAGCTTCCGGATCCTTGTCTTCTACAGGGATCCGGATGCATTATACACCTGAACATTGCAACTTGTAAATGGTGGTGTTCTTTTATTTTGTTTGGAAAAAGCAACATGTTTCAACTGGTTGCAAAATCTATCTTTTAAGGAGCCCTGTTCTAAGCGGTCCGTTTGGTGTGGTTTGGTAGTGATTTCACTCTGATTGAGAGGCACCTCTGCGCTTGACCTGAGTTTTGCTCTGAAACTCAGTAGGCTTTGTTTACCTTTTGATGTCTGCTCTCGGTTAGCTGGGAACGTAAGGGAGTCGGTAGCAATCCCTGGTGCACGTTCCTGGCCATTGCAGATTCTGATTACCCAGTCCTTGGTAAACATTCACTCAATGGACTGATCACGGGATTCCTGAACGAAGGGGGGCGGTATTGTTTTCAGATATACAGCCACTATGTACAAATGTAAAGTGTGCATGTGTGTGTATATATTCTTTCTTTATACGTAGGTGTTGTTTCCAGGGGATCCCCTAGACTGGTGGTGTTCCTTTGGTTTCCCTAAAAGGTACCCAACAAAAAGACAGCCCATATGTGTATATATATATATACATAACCGAATCTCTGCAAGTGGAAACGATCTTGGACACGCACTAACGAGGACTCACCTCTTCAACCGCCCAGCGGTCCACCCAACGGCCCAACCGCCTCGCCTGGCGTCTGCATAGCCGTCGACGACCACTTTGCCCTTCGCAGACACCTACAAAGGCAACCCTGGGATTCAGTTGCCGCCACTGAACCAATGGTTGGGTAACTCCACAAAAGACACCTAAGTCTACCCTCTTTCTGGTTTTAAAAGGTGCACCGGTGGCAGCTGCCGGAATCCTAGGGCTACCGTATTGAAACAACCAATGCTCTACCTTTCAGGAGCGACGCATCATCTAACATGGATCCTTACATTATACACCTGAACATTGCAACTTGTAAATGGTGGTTTCCCTTGATTTTGTTGGAAAAAGCCATGCTTCAAATGGTTGCAAAATCTATATTTTAAGGAGCCCTGTCTAAATTGGGCCCCTTGGGCCATTCTTTTAATGGGAATCGGTTGAATTTCAGGGGCAAGCGCGCGCGCCCAAAGGCGCATCGACGGCCTGCACGCGGACAGGCCAAACCCAAAAGTGCACACCCCGCACCCCATGGAACCCTCAACATGGCTGGCATCCTCTTGTTTTTCCTTCAAGCCAACCCCCGAAAGGGTACCGAGCCTCGAATGCAGAGCTGAATCACGCTTCCATTGCTCTCAACCCTTGTCAGAGTCAAACTGTGCGGCTCGAAGTCATGCCACTTCACTCCAGGCTTCAGGTCCTCCAGTTTTGAGAGCTTAGAATGAGGCTACCAACTCTTTTTTTTCGGTAGTCTATTTTGGTAAGGGAACCCTCCCCAAAAAAGTTGGTAAAGGTGCACTGGGGGACCTAAATGAACATTGTAGACAATATGAAACACCCTCTTCATTTGTTGATTGCCTTTGGTTGCTCGCCAAATTGCCCATCGCTTTTTCCCGTCCCAAGTACTTGACCGGTGTCGCGCGTGAGCACAGGCGACGCCTCGATGCGCGCAGCTTCAAGGCTGCTGTCGTCCTGAAGGAAGAAGATGAACTGGTTGAGCACGGTGTCGGCCTGGAATCCGGCGAATATGTATATATATATATATATATCTAAAAAAAAAAAAAAACATACCTAAGGATTGTCCTCATCCAAATTGGGTCCCGAGGCCATTCTGGCAATTCAAACAACCATTACAACAATGCTTGGGTTCATGTTTCACCACCATTACATCATAGGTGTCCTTTTAGGGGAAATAGATGGCCCTGGTAGATGATAAAACCACCAGGTAAACCAGGAATCGCCATCTATTTTTCAACCAAAACAACTAAAAAGGACACCTATGATTACCATACCTAAGGATTGTCATCATCCAATTTCCAATTGTTTCATGGGAATCGGGAGCCTTGGGAACAGAGGTTCCAAAGGTTCGCCCCGAGCTGTCGCTCAGCCTGCAGAATGCCTGCAATTCTCTGGGCTGGTGAATGGGGTCCTGGGAGCAATGGTGATCAACTTTTAGCGAGCGGCGTCCTTTTGTGGGAACCTCCTGTGGCTGGCTTTAAAGGGAAAGCCCCAAAAAAAACGGGACCCTCGCATATTTGGGGGGTCCTGGAATGTTGAGACCCACATAAATCCAACTCGAACCTCTCACTGTCCAAAAGTCTAAGGAACTGAGGTTGGTCCCGTTATAACCTACTAAGTTGGTTGAACATCCAGGTAGGCAAACGGACATTTCAGCGAAGCGGACAGATCACGGAACTCCCGTTTCGGGTTTGGATGTTGACCCCGGATCGACTTTCAGGCAAGGGCCGCGAAGGAAGCAGGACATTTCAGGGGGTCTGAAGGATCGGTCGGAGGTTTCGGATGGAGCCCGGATCGCTTCCCGACTCAAAGTGATCAGCGCTAAGGCCATCCTTTCAGTCATCCAGGGCTGTTAAAGGGAATCCACTGTACGACAGGAAGGGCATCCCAAAGACTAACCCCTTTCTAAAGGGGGGGGATTCCCAAAAGTATCACAGAAGTGGTTGGATAAACCCCGGGTGATCTCACAACCCTGATCTTGCCGACCACGTTCCAGGACACCATGGAGTAGCCAAGTGCTGTGAACTCCTTGGTGTTCTCTTGTTGTTTGCCCCCTATGGTTGCACTCCACTTGGGGCTATATAATACCCCAAGGTACAACCCACTTATAAGATCCTCAAGGTCGAGTTAACCCTCTTCTTAGCGGCTTACAACCCAGGTGGCCAACCACTTACATCCCAGGCGCTCATGAATTCTGAGTTCCAAAGAGTATCTATCATTGCGGGGCGGGAGGCGGGAGGGGCGTGTTTCCTGTACGGACCAATATCCCACTGACTTCAACTACCACCCCGGATTCGAGCCGGAAGACACAGCTGCGAGCCCGGCGGATGTGAAGGTCTCCGCAAATGGGCGCGAACCAGACTGGGTGCTGTTATTGAACCAGGGGAGGAAATCCCAAAGGTTTGTACTCGATTTATCCAGACCGTGGTTAAACCAGGGATCCTGATACCAATCCTTAGGTAAACAATGGCGTTCATATGACCCACCAATATTTTGATGGCTGTTTGAATTCCAGGGGATGGCTCCCCTTTCAAAAAACAAACTCCCAAGTCGGCCTGGGTGGATGATGACTTGCTCCTGAACGGTAAACCGAAGGGTGGTGAAATATTTGAACCCAACCATTGAATTAACTGGGCTGAACAACCAGGGGCTCATGAATTAACTCAGCGGAACCCGGTGCCTTCGTGCCCCCGTTCTTCCAGTCCACATGGGAGTCGCGCAGCCTGGCGTCCGCCCGCTCCAGAAACTGCGCCTCTGGAACCTCCTTGGTGACCGTCCAACTGGGCTGTCCAATCGTTTTCAGATCCCCTGCCAAATGCGAATAATGATTTAGATGAAAGTGAACAACTTGTAGCGGGCGAAATGGAAACCCAACCACTGAACCAACTAAAAACAACTACAAGCCTGCGGGATGGTTTTTAAAGCGCCAAGCTTGAGAGAGAACAACTAAAACCCTTGCTGAGAACCAGCAAGGTTCGTCTTACCGTGGGGTTCTGGGGGCTTACCCAGGAAAGTAGACGATCACCAAAACCCTCCGATCGTCAGCTGCCATGATTGTTGAAGGGAGGGTAAGGCTTTGTGGTTTCGGGCTCCCTTTCTTTGCAAAAGCCTTCCAATCATGAAAGCCGACTAGAGCCAGGGGGTTTTAGGGACGGTCGAGATGGGCCAAGGAATGCGGAAGTCTGAACTTGCCACCTGAAATTCGTGTGGGGTTTTCTTGGGGGGTGCCCTTTTGGATGGCTTTCCACCAAAAGGAAAACCCGCCATTTTGAGGGGCCTACAAAAAGACGCGCCAGCTGTGAGGAAGGCAAGGCTAACGGGCGAACCCCCTAAAAACCCCGAAGCCCTGCGCAAAGAACCCCGCCGGGTTGATCAACATTATTGGATCTGACCCCTCCAACGCCCGACGACACGTGGAGGAGTTACTTCTATTAATGGAAAATAAGTGAAATTTGTGTCTTGGGAAGAAGGCCCTGTATCACGCCAGACTGCAACAGATCCACCATCACCACCTCCCGTTGCGTCAACTATGTGGGGGTTGACCAATATGCATGGCCCCAAACGACCATGGGCAACATCCCCATGTGGACTCCTCCCGGTGATTCCCATCTCATTGCGAAAAATCCGCGGCCGGCCTGTAGAAGAGCGTGTTGGCCGGCAGGAACCAGTCCGCCAAACTTGGCTCCTCAGGCAGCGAAGCCTCGGAAGCTCCAAGTTCAAGATCGCGGAGAAATCCGGCTGTTTGGAGTGGAATTGTGCGGGTTGTCTTACACTGCAAGTCTTACACTTAAAGGGGCAGGGTACGTCAGGTGGTGAGTAAGCCTGGTTGTAACCCATTGAACAGGCCTTACTCCATTGTGAGTGGGTTATAACAAGGCATATATATATTTTTTTGGAGCAGGGGGGGGGGGGGGGGAAAAGGAAACCAAATGGAAAAACGATGACCTTTTTTGCTTCGGGGGGGTCTCCTATGTTCACACCATTTCACAGCCACACAGTATATATATATATATATATGTGTGCATATATATATATACGTATATCTTTATCTATATATAGCCTACCCTAATAACATCACTTGGGAGGTCTCACCTCGGCTCGGCGCACCTTGTTTGACCGAGCCGGACCGTGACCCCGTCACACCGTGACCGCCTGAGGCATGGGCTGCGAGCTGGCGCAGCTCCTTGACGATGTCCACCTTGGAGGCCTCCGAACAGCGGCACCGGGGGACAGGGGCATGGCAGGCCATGTGGTGGGGTGGGCGGGGTTTCAAGGACGATATACAACCAGAAGTTCGAAAACAAACCCTGGTAGTTGCATTCCATTTGGTTAAGACCCCTGGAAAAAACAAAAACAAACATATGTCCAGTAGTGATAAATTCCTTTAAAACATGCCCATTGATCAGTGGAACAGCGAGCTCCAAGTAAGCGAGTCATGATCATCTCCCTATGTCCTTTTGGGGAATAAGGAATCTTGACCATACGCCACATAACCTTCCATTTGGTTAAGACCCCTGGAGACTTGTCAAAAAATGGTCTCCAGTAGTGATAAGTTCCTTTTTTAAAACCAACAAGGAAAGAAAAAACACATTCTTAAGCAAATGGAAGCATGGGGGTTCCAGGGATGATATTCAACCAGAAGTTAGAACACCAACCCCTGCAGTTGCCATTCTAAGAAACCAACTTGTTTCAACAATAATTGAGCACCAAGCCTTTTTTGGATTAGGTTTTGGCGGGTCCGCCCCAAGATGTGCCGGAGCTACGGTAAATCCCAACTCAACATTGCAAGTAGCTGCTCCATCTTCAACCAAGCCTCGGTGAGTTGCGGTAGAGTCGGACTCCTTGTTGCCTTGCTTGCAATATTGAAGGCATCCAATGGCTAGCACCACATGAGACGCCCTCTGCGCATGAGGCTTTTCTTTTCAAGAACAAAGCTTCCCCTCTTTGAAGGGTAAGTTGCTGCACCTTGGCTGGGCACTTACCCCAGACATGGGCCCGAGGGTTGCACCTGCCATTCACTAGCTCTGGTGGCATGAATGTGTGTGTGCATCCCGCTTACAAACACAATCTGATTGCAAATATTGATCAATCTCTCGTGTCCAACGCCATCTACTTAAATGTCTTTCAGCGCGGCTACTATACATCTCTACTCTTGGTATGGTAGCAAACAACTTTGTTTTTGCAGACCCCCAGTAAAAATGAACAGAACCGAAAAACTAAAAAACCAAAAACATGCCAAGAACAGCGAAGTATGCATAGACTAACCACACTTCAGAGCCACTGGGCACCCATTTGGACGCTCCACTCAACGTGTTCCCCGCCTCTGCAGATGCTCCGCCACCTAAAATTTCCAGAACCGACTGCGCGGCAAACAAAAAAAGAAGAAGCGCCAGCGCCGCGCTACCCGAAACCCTCGCTCGCCAAAAGGCGCCCAGCAGACAATGTTTCCTTCTGCACGAAACGAACTAAATAGATACGGCTGAACTGGCTAAAGACGTACGACTAAGCGCAACTATTTTGTTAGCCCAACCCTAGAATGATACTGGTCCGTGTGTAGTGAACCGGATATGAAATCAGATCGAAAGAGATCCCGAAACGCGCGAAGCGCAGCAAGACTCGAAGACCCGTTGTGCGGGACTGGTCCACATGTACGGCCATCGAACCTATGGGTCTGTTGTCTATGGGTCTGTTCCCGCTTCCAGGAAAAAAGGGGCCACTCCCAAAAAGGAAGGCCCCCTTTTGTCTGGGCTGTTCGTTTTCTGATCCCCCGCTAAAAGTGAAAATCACTTTTAGTGGGTTAAACTTGGAAACTACTACACACTAAAAAGATCTAAAAGCCTAAGGGACCGGATGGCCTTCGGCTTCGCCACCCATCACTCGGCCGCATCTGCTGGAAACCAAAAGGAAAACCGCCATTTGGGCAGTGGGTCAAAAATGGGTACCCCAAAATGGCTGGCCCTGGTAAATCTGCGGTCCACAAAATCTGCGGTCACCCATGTCGGAATGTTGGGGCGGTCACCTAAAGAAGGCCACCTCCAAATCTGCCTCGAGCATCACGGCAACATCCACTGTGATCGATCGCCTCTCTCCGGTCACGTAAATGCCGAACCCCTGCGGTTCAGCCCCCTCCCCCCCCAAAAAAAAAACGTTGGCCGAACTTGGATGATAACAATCCTTAGGAGAACAATGGTACTTCTATGAAGACCCATTGATTTAATGCTGTGAATCCCAGAAAAACAGGTCCCTCAACCGATTCTTCCCGTGGCAATGCGCCGCGATCCCTGGACCCTTTACAATGTCAAGCTTGAAGCCATTCCGAAAGCCGAAACATGCCCGGAGCCATTTCGAACCACTCCGAAGCCTCTTTGGGCAGAGACCCCAGTTTTTGGCTGGGGAATTCCATTTTGATGGTGAGAAAGCTTCACTTTTGGCATAAAAAACACTCTCCATGAATCCGGGGACAATTTCGCCCGTTCCTCGCAAAAATGGGCGGCGTCCATTCAGTTTCCCTTTGAAACCAAAAGAGCTACTCTCAGAACATACACAACCGGATGATGAAAAACAAAGCAGCCTACGCACCAAACCCCCCCCACCAACCCAACCCACCCCCAACTCAATGCAAGGACCAAGCAGCATTCACACCCAACCCACACCCCCCATTACGGAAGGATATAAATAATAAAAAAAAAAACGTGTTTTAACAATCAACAAAATGTTCTAGCAATCAATAAAAACTTGTTTAGCCATCAAGAAAAAACTTAATGCACTCAGGGCTGCATTTCGTGAGAAACGTTGTATCAAAAGGAACACGCAGTGCACGTGCACGGACACGGTCTCATCACACGTGCCGTAGCTGCTGGGTTACTCTTTTGCGATGGTCTGGGCGTTTACACGACAAAGACGTATAGCCCGGGGTTTCTTCATATTCTTGGAAATAGAAAAACAGAGTAGGAGAGATTGAGCAAGAGAGACAAAGAAGAACAGACAAACAAAAAGGGTTGAGTTTTTTTATTTTTATTTTGTTTTTTTTGGTTTTCCGGCCTGGCTAGCAAATACTGTATTAGAAGGCATTTTCTCACGAAAATGTACGTATTTTACACTAGCCCGTCAACATCATCAGCGTCGTTTTCAGCCAACATCCCCAGCATCACCAGCAAATCGAATTTCTACATCTTCAGCATCATCAGTTCCTCTCCGGCAAGGTAGGTAGGCATTTATGTATGTATGCTAAAAAGTAACGAGGGGGTCCCTCTCATGATGGTAAAAACAGCCGCCCCCCCCATGATGTAGCGAAAAAGTGGTGATTCAACTAGGGCTGCATTTTAATCTATGCCAAAAGTCCAACAAGTAGTGGGGGGTTTGGGGGGCGGCAGCCTGCCCCGTGGTGGTCGGGGGAGTGATGATTCGACTAGGGGCGAACAAATTAAAAAAGTAGGTTGGGGGGGGCGGCAGCCCCCCCATGATGATCGAACAAGTGATGATTCGATTGGGGCCCACAAATCTAAAAAGTAGCGGGGGGGTTGGGGGGGGGTGGCAGCCCCCCCATGACGATCAAGAAAATAATGATTCGACTCAGACCAAAAATCTGAAAAGTAGCGGGAGGATTGGGGGGGGGGGGGGCAGCCCTCCCATGGCGATCGAACAAGTGATGATTCAATTAGTGGTAAAAAATGTAAAAAGTAGCGGGCCCCCCAAGATGATCGAAAAACTGATTGTTCAATTAGGGGCAAGAAATCCAAAAACCAGCCGAGGGGGCAAAACATATAAAAAGAAGCGAGGGGGTTGGGGGGGGGGCCGGCAGCCCCCCCCATGATGATCGAAAAAATGATCATTCGAATTGTGGCCAAACATCTAAAAGCAGCGATGATCCAAACCCCATGATGATCCAGAAAGCGATGATTCAATTAAAAGACGGCGGATATCCGCAGCTATTTATGGTTGGGATTGTCCAGGTTGGTAAGTCATGCGGGGCTGGGGAGGGAGGGGGAGGGGGAGGGAGCACAAAAAAAACCGTGTAGGACCCCATTTTTTTGGTCAAAGGCAGAAAAAAGGAATCGGTCTAAATGATGGGGGTTGGGGAGGGAGGGGGGGGAGCTCAAAAATTAAATCTTAGGACAGCAGCGTCCCGAAGAAGCAACAGCAAAGACAGTTGACGAACAGAAGAACCACTTGGCGACACTTGAACTACCAAACCACTTGTCTGGTAAGGCTCAGCCTCTCCAGCCCCAACGGCGTTTCGGGAGCAGGTTGCTGCAACATCCAGTTGGCGCATGCATCATCAGAGAAGTACTCCTGCGCCAAGTTAACTACCGGCTGCCCCATGGTGTCAGACAGTCACTGTCAGACGATTGAGCCCGCACTTTGATGCGAAGATCAGCCGTCAGCTGGCTTGCGTCCCAGGTGCTTCACGTGGGCGCAAAGAGTCCTGTCTACCCTGCAACGCCTGTGCAAATTTCAAAACGAGGCCCTGACGGAATGCTGGACAGCAAGTGCCCCACCAAGCCCGACATCAGCGTCAACCTTGCCAGCGGCAACACAAACACAATTACACAACCCTGCCCAGCCGTTACTGCCACCATGACGCTTCGTGCTCAATTCAGCCCACGCAAAATTTGCAGCTAAGAAAGCAAAGCTCTTCCACTAACAAGTCATGGATATTTTTGACCAAGCCCCCTCCCAACCCAATGGCGTCCAAGGCCTGAGAAAGGCCAGCGGCAGCAAAGCACCTGCCAAGCTCATGAGAAAAAGAAACTGACACGTCATGATGTCACTGCTCAAAACCACACTGCTCCACAGTGGGGGCTTGATGGTAAGCGATCTTCATCAGATGCCATGTCTGGCACAATTTACTGTACTGGGTGGCCCATTAGCGGCTCGGCCCTTTGACAAAAGATCATGCAAACTGGGTCTTTGGTGATTCATTTCAAAGTTGTAGCGTTGAACTTGGCACTCCTTTCAGCGCATTCGGCTTGTCAGTGTGTGTTTCTTTTGCCTGAAACTGTCTGTCTTTTGTCACCCAGACCCAGTTCAGCCTCCCCTGCAAATGTCAGGCGGCACGTCAGGCGGTGCGTCAGGCAGCATGTTCAGGCGCTAGGTCGGGCGGCCAGTCAGGCTACGTTGCCGGCTCACCAACATGAGCGAGGCTGCCCTGGCTTGATCCCGGTCAGTTGATCGGCCCCTTGATCGCGCCCATTCCTCAGTCAAACAGCAGCAATCCGTGATGCAGAGATGTGATGGTTTGTGTCTTGAATGTGAACCTGAAGCATGCCAACACGCAAGCAAGGCGCTGGCTCCCAATGCCAGGTGTGGGGCTCCCAAGTGTCTCCCTGCCAACGCCCGCTCCTGGAAGTGCTGCTGCTCCTGTCGCACAAAATCAAGCGCCAGGAGCGCCCTAGTGAGGCGCCGCCAACGCTGGCTGTTGTGGCGGAGCAGCTGCGCGCTGCGGCCAGGTCCAGCAAGACCGGCCTGCCGATCTCGACGAGGGCCTCTTGCCGCTTTCTGTGTCTTTCCTCGAAGACGTGTTGGGCCCACTGGCCCTGCTCGGTAGCCACACCGCGCCCAGGGAGGCTAGGTCCAGCTCCTCGGCTGTTGGCGGCAGGGCGGCAGGCGAGATCCATGGCTGCCGTTCTTGCGCTGGTAGCTCCTGCGTCCCAGGTACTCCGCGGAACAGCCGGCCTCCCTGGCCAGCGCCAGCGCCGCCTTCGTCACCTCGGCCGCCGAGTGTTTCCTCGGGCAGTCGTAGGCGAGGTGCGTGGCGCTGCCGATCTTCAAGGAGAGCCAGATAGGGCTTGCTCCTGCGCGCGAAAAAAATGGCTTCTTGCCACAGGGTTGCTGCGACTATTTGCCGCAAGCCAAGGGACTTGTCACATTTAAAAAAAACGGTCCTGGACGGTCTCAGCTAGGGCTGTCACCCGGCCCTCTGACGGTGGGCGTGGGCGCGACCAACATGTGCTTCAGGTAGGTTTCAGCGCGTTTCGGGCCGTTCCAAGCAGGCGGGTCCGCCTTGACCTCGGTCTCTGCCCGCGCCAGGTCGAGTTTGGCCACATGGGACTCCGTGCCGCGCAGGAACTCGCATAGGGCGCCGTTGAAGGTTACAGACACGTCGTCTCCGTCATAGTCGCCGCCAGCCCCTCCTGCGCCGCAGGTGCTGCAGACCAAACAATTGTTCGGGATTGCCCAGAGGTCCGTCGGCCATTCCACCGCGTCCCACACCTCCAGGTCAGTGGGCTGCACTGCTGGGCTGCGCCATACCGCCACGGGTCCGACGTAGTTCCCCCGTTGGATGACATAGCACTTGCGGTCCTGTCAGGTTTCAGGGCCGGAAAAACTAGCCAAGTGTTCGACCGAGCTCGCTGCCTCCGGCCTAGTGTCGTTTCGAGATCCCTGCAACTCCCGAGCGCGCCTCCAGGCGCTTCCAGGGGTCGGCGAGGGCCTTCAGCGTCCAAGCGTCCCCCCACGCGCAGCCGCGTGTCATAGCGCTGCTGGCGAAGTTGGTCGTTGAACTTGCTGCCGCCATGTCGCACCATCTGCTCTCCTTCGCCTCTGCGGTCAGGTCGCCGATGGGAGTGGCCTCCTCCCCGTCCGTCGCCCAGCGGACTTTTATTGCTTCCTGGGGTGTCCGGACGACCTCCTTGCGCTCCTGCTCGGCGACCGCCGCCTTCGCGTCTGCGCGCGTTGGGCGGCGGGGTCGCAGGCGGCGTCCGCTTTTCGGCGGGGCCTGCGTGGGATCCTCCAGCCCCCACGCCTGTGCTTTCATGCTTTCCACGGTGTCTAAGGCCAGCTTGCTGCACAGCTGCCCCAGCATTGCTCACAGGTGTTCTCGGTCTGCCGCAAGCTCGGCGCTCAGGGCGCGTAGGGCGAGCGCCGCCACCAGCTGGGAGTTGATTGTGGCAGGCTTCATGGCGGCCTCCGTGGTGGAAACGACATCGAAGTGGAAGTCTTGAGTCTCGAGCGTCTCGACGCTCTCCACCTTGGCGCGTTCCCGCCGAATGTGCAGCCCGTTGGCAAGGAGCGGGTCCACCATGAGCATGCCCTTGGCAAGGCAGGTGGCGCCCGCGCTTGTCGGCAGCGCTCCTCGGAACTGCCAGGGCGTGCTTTCAGCGACAGGGCCAAGGCTAGGGTCAATCATGACCAGGTCAGGCAGCAGGACGACAGGCGGAGGGGATTCATCAGGCTTCTTGCCTCCAGCAGCCACTCCTTGATCTTCGGGATGAGGCACCAAACTCAAGCGCAAAGGGCATTGCCCTGGCGAAACAAGTCGGCAGCGCTAGCTCCATTCGAAAGCAGCATGCCAGCAATGTCGCCAAGGCCGCCGATCTATGTCGCCCCTTGCTGCCTCAGAAGTCGGCAACCCTACATGCCAAAACCGCCATGCAAAGCAATGAGAACCAGAAAAGACTGCCACTGCATCCGCAAGGCAAATCAGCTGCAGGCAGACCAGCAAACTGGTCGATTGCATAGCCGCCGGGGCCAAAAACGAAAAGTGCTGCCGCATGACGATCTAAAAAGTGATGATTCAATTAGCTAGTAGTCGGGGGTTGCCCCCCCCCTTGATGATCGAAAAAGTGATGATTCGATAAGGAGATTGAAAGGGGGACAAGAGGAACTGGCGATGCTGAGGATGCAGGAAGCCACGGCCAAAAACCAACTGGGAAAGCAGAGGTTGCAAAATGCCAAAGCCAGAATGCCGCCAAAAGCCACAAAGCCAAAAAGCCACCTGCCCGAAAGAAACTGGTAATGCAGAGGATGGGAAAAGCCAAAGCCGCAAAAAAGCCGCATAAACCCAATAACAAGCCGCAAAAGCCAAACAGAGAGGAACTCAAAAGACCAAAGGATCAAGAGACCAAAGGACCAAGGGACCAAAGGGAGGGGCCAGGGGTGTTCCTTAGGAACCAGAAAATCAAATGACAACCAAAAGAACACATACCAAGCAGAGTGAGATTGTGGAAAGTTGCTTTGTGATTGATCTAAAAACGTTGGTTGTGGATGGCTGAAAGTGTTTTTGTTGATTGCCAAAAAAGCTTTTTTTGATGGTCATCCCACCCCCCCCCCCCCAACTCTATACCAGGACCAAGAACCCCCCCCCACCCCCCGCCCCCTAGGACCAAGAAACCCCCCGCTTCCAAGCTTGAAACCCGAGGCCGGCGCCGCGCGCACTCCCGTAGATGCCAAAGTCGAAGGGCGGCGCCTGGCGCAGTCGAGTCGAGTCCTTCGGACGCGGAGTCGTTCGGACGCCATGGGCTTTTCAAAACCCAAATCGGGTTTTAGCCAGTGAACGGGACCGATTCAATCCAACCACTAAAAGTCCTAAAATGGGTGGTGAATGCACCGAACACCCCAAAATGGCCAACTGAGAATTTGGAAGCTTTTAACAGAAACCACCAAAGGAAACGCCAAGACCTGTCTGACTGTGCGAAATCCGGAAATCGCACCTGAGAAACCTCGGAAAGTGTCTGATGATTTGCCATTTTGGCAAAAGACCTGTATGTCTGTTTCTTTTCAACTTGATTTGAGTCACAATCAAAACCCGGTATCAAAATGGTCTACCCAGAACCATGCTTCAAGAATTAAAAAGGCGGATATCCGCAGCTATTTATGGCAAGGGGATTGTCCCTCACTAACGTTCATCTACCCGGGTTTTGATTGTGGCTCACCTGGGTTACAACCAATGCCAAGGTCAACTCCACTGAACCGGGTTATAACTTAGGTCACGATCACAACTTACGAACTTGGCCGAACACCCAAGACACCCCTTTTTGGAACCTTGGCTAATTTGGCTTCAGGAGTGAACTTCTTGGCAAAGAGTCCTCCGTGGGTTTGTCGGAGAAGACCACACCCATTTCGCACCTCGGTGACCCTGAAGTGATTCCCTGTAAATGCCAACCAGCAAAGGTTTCCCACGGTTTCCAAGTGGTGCAGGATTTCGTCCATTCACTGTATTTAGTCAGGGTCACTGGATGGTTGATCAATTTACTGGCGGTCTCCATTGAAACTACTCAGTTTGGAAGTTCTAAAAAAGGAAATGGAGGAAACGCAGCTAGTCAACCCTACAGGATAGTTTTGAAGGAGTCCCCAGCTTTATTGTGTGCATGGTTTGGGGTTGAATTGCAATCAACCCTGGCTTTCATCGGGATCAGGGCCCAAAAAACTTGGGGTGGCGCGGGGTAAGAGTGAAGCAAACCTCAAGAGGACCCTCAGAGTTCAATGCCGGGGATCAAAGGCGTTGCCCTCCTGGGATTACACCTGGAAAACACTCCATTCGGGTTGTGATTTCCATATTATTATCTGGTTGCCATGCAGTGCTCGGTATAAAATTCAAAATGGCTAGTGTTTTATGATATATATATATACAAACATATATATATATATATATGAATATGCATATGTGTGTGTATATATGTATGTATGTATGTATGTATGTATTGTATTGTATTGTATTGTATTGTATTGTATTGTATTGTATTGTATTGTATTGTATTGTATTGTATTGTATTGTATTGTATTGTATTGTATTGTATTGTATTGTATTGTATTGTATTGTATTGTATTGTATTGTATTGTATTTGTATTGTATTGTATTGTATTGTATTGTATTGTGTTGTGTTGTATTGTGTTGTGTTGTGTTGCATTGTATTGTATTGTATTGTATTGTATTGTGTTGTGTTGTGTTGTGTTGTGTTGTGTTGTGTTCTGTTGTGTTGTGTTGCATTGCATTGTATTGTAATTGTATTTGTATTGTATTGTATTGTATTGTATTGTATTGTATTGTATTGTAGTGTAGTGTAGTGTAGTGTAGTGTAGTGTAGTGTAGTGTATTGTATTGTATTGTATTGTGTTGTATTGTATTGTATTGTATTGTATTGTAATGTGATGTGATGTGATGTAATGTAATGTAATGTAATGTAATGTAATGTAGTGTAATGTAGTGTAAGGTAATGTAATGTAATGTAATGTAATGTAATGTATGTATATATGCATATGCAGAAGCATGCGCAATTGTTAGCTGAACATATCAATCGGACCTGACGCTCCACCGCGCTATTTTGCCGAGCAAAGCCTCTCGCTCCAGGGCGTGCTCCAGGGGGGTAGCATTTCACGCTTAAGCGGTATAATGTGACTTCTTGGTTGACGTTGGAAGGGGAGCAAAAACTGTTAATTTTAGCTGTTAAGTGGCGATTTCCCACTAAACCACTATAAGCAAAAATGCAAAATGTTTCCCAACAGCAACCATGACTCCATGACTTTGGTCTTGGAAATTGCTTTTGAAAAGTGAAAGAAACAACAATAGGATTAGACATTCTGTTCTATTCAATGGCACAAAGCTTTACATGCGTTGTGACTGATATGTTTGTGGCGATTAGAAAGGCCCGTTCTCTGCCAAGGATCAGCAATTACAAGTTAGCTGCCCTGCAAAGAGATAGATCATCTAAGCCAGTATCATATTCAAAGTGATAGAGGTCTGGAAAGCACCGAAGTGTGTTGTCAATCCAATATCATTCCTGGGCTGCCCGTTTTCTGATCCCCCGCTAAAAGTGACGCACTTTTAGTGGGTGAAACTCGGAAACTGCCCCTAAACACTAACAAGATCTACAAGGCTCAGGAACCGGATGGCTGGGCTTGCCACCAAGATTTTCATCAAGCCGAACGGCATCCCAATGTCACAAGCCTTCGTGAGAAATGAACCCAGGTGAGTCGGAATGGTACCAATTGAGTCATAATCAAAACCCGGTATCAAAATGCTCTACCCAGAACCGTGTAAAGAATTAAGAAGGCGGAATTCCGCAACTATTTCTGGTTGGGATTGTCCCTTACTAACCTTCATCTACCCGAATCGGTTTTGATTGTGGCTCAATTAGTCTACCCAAACATCATCCCAGAGCGAAGTGGAGCCCGTTCCGTTTTCAGGTGTTTTTTCCCCTCCAAAAGCGGGGCACCCCTCTGGTGGGGAAACGCCCCCTAGTAATTCATCAACAAGGCGGGTTAAAATCCGGGGATCCCAGTACTCACTTCCTGAGTGGGCTGGCTCAACACAGTCCAAACTGTTTGCTTACCACTAAAGCCGTCCTCCCAAACAGTTCCTGGGCTGCCCGATTTCTGATCCCCCGCTAAAAGTGACTAACTTATAGTGGAATAAATCCCACTCAAACTGACTAACGTTTAATGGGTTGCATTCGGAAACTACCACTGAGCACTAAAAAGATCTAAAAGTCTAAAGTTCCGGATGCCTGGGAACCACCAAGACTGGGTTGGCCCCTTATAACTTATAACCATGGTTATCACCTACTTAATAAGATACATGGAACTGGGGCCAAACCTCCCGAACCACCAATCACCACAGATCACCACCAGTCAAGGCACACCTAACAGCTGAATTTGAAGGCCACCGAGAGTTTCAAGTCCAACTTCGGAAGATCAAGAAGCCTTCAGGATGCAACAACTTGCCTTGCGCCAGACAGCAAAACTGTCAACAAACCCAGGGCGATACCTATGGGCATATACCCACAATAGGTCCTAAAATGGGTGGTGAACGAATCCCAACCAACATGGGATCCCAAAACGGTGTTGACAACCACGGCCATATGTTACTTGAAGGAGAAAACCAAGAAACAGGAGGCCAATCCAGGTCCTTGACCTTTGAAGAGGCAAAACCATGTCACCAAGAGCCAAAAAATCGGGTCCGGCGCCTGTTGTTCACTTGAAAGCGGATTCTCTTGGCATCACACAAAAAGATGAATCCCCTAAAACCCTATTGTGCTTGGTGTCCTCTTGTTTCCCTTCAACTATCAACCAAACGGGGAGGTTCACCATTTTCAGACACCCCCGAGCCCTAAAACCGAATTTGGGTATTTCTCAAAATGTGGGACTTCAGGTTTCCCTTCAGAAACATTCAAGAAGGGATCCCCGATTTTGAGAAATACCCAGGTGGCTCGTCGTTTTCTCCACCAAAATGGTGTGGTGTCCCTGGTTTTCCTTTAACACCAACTCCAACAAGGCAAGACCCATATTTCCCTTAAGTGGAAAATGACCTCGAGCCATACCTCGAACCAGTGCCTGAGACTCCCTGGACTTTTGCTTGTCTTGGTGAGATGGGAACCGAAAACGAATCCCCTTTTGGGTGTCCTTTTGGAGAAATAGACGGGTCTCCTTGGTACATGGATGACCCAAAACCCATCTAAACCAGATGAATTCTGATCTATTTCATGGTGCAAACTAACTGATCACATGGCCCCCAATCCCCCAACCCAAACCCATCAACCCCCCAACCCCCGGACCAAACCTTAAGGGAGATTCCAAAGGGATATTCCAAGGAGTGTTGGGGCCCTTTGGAGCCCCCCACACTTCCGGGAAGGTCCGACAGGCCGAAAGGCCTGGCTCTGCTCGGAGTCTTCGGGGTCGATGCAGATGTACCGAAACGCATAAAACCTCGGCGCGAGAAATGTCTCGCGCGGCCCGCCGAAGAGCGAGGCGCGGATTGACAATCGAGCAAGAAGTTCCCCATACTCCACAGCCGGAGAAGCCGTAAGGAGTGCAATCCCGATAAGGTATTTGCAAGACACGGAACAATGCCATCCTCCAAAGACCTGTCAAGAAGAAAATGCATGCTTCAGGAGCCTTCTCCAGTGCAAAATGCCTTCAGCCCAACATGAAGAAATGTTGACCCCAAGTTAATCAACCCCGGTTCAGTAATATGGGGGTGTTCCCCCAAACGCGATGATTCCCCACTAAACCCAAGGACACCCGCTATCCATAAACTGGGGTTGATCAATATGGGGTGGTCCAACTCACCTGAACAGCTACAACAGTGACCCTCAGACAATCTATTAAAATAAAATGTTTGCGCCAAAGAAGCAACAAGTATGGGACATTCAAGGCCAACGCTGCCCCGCAAAAGAATCATAGCCAACTCTGAAACAGTCAGAATCCAAAGAAAGCTAGGGGGAAACAAGTGCAAAACCAGCTAAGCCTCGTCGCCCACAACAGGGGACTCCACGAGAAAAACAGTGAAAAGACTTGGAAGCTCCGGGTTAAAGTCTACTGTAGGGGCATCTGTGTGCGTGTGCCAGAATTGGGATATGGACCCCCCTCAAAAAGATAGGGGGTGGGTCTTCCTTTTGGCTTCCCGAATAAACCAACACCAAACAGGGTATCGAGCCTTAAGAAGAAGCACAACCCCACATTCAGGTACCCCTCAACATAGGCGTTCTTTTAGGGGAAATAAATGGCCCTGGTAGATGACTAAACCACCAGGTAAACCAGGGATCGCCATCTATTTGTCTAGCCAAAACAACCAAAAAGGACACCTATGCCCCTCAATTGGTGGTTTGGATTGGGGTTTCGGTAACCCCCCAAGGTCCAAACCAAACCAAACCACCAATAAGGAAGCGGGCTAAGCTGATCACTGGCTTACCGGCGAAAAGCTCGGAAACCTTGGGCTCTTAAGCCTACCTTGGCAACTCAACCAATGGGTTTCTCTCAAAATAGCGGACGCCCCCCTTCCCCAAACAGAAAAAAAAAGTGTCCTCGTGGTCTCCCTTTCACCCAAACCCAAACCGCGTAGCCTCAAAAATAAATTATCAACACCCCAGCCTGGATCCCTCTCTGAAACGAAAAAGAAAAAAACTGGGTGCCCCGGCTGCTCGTAGAAGTCCGCCACCGCGTGCAGGGACTGGTTCACCCCGCCCAGCGGCGCAGTGATCTGGAGGCGATTCGGGGGAAAGGAACGGGCGGCAGCGTGGGGGGGGGTGGACCGCGCGAGCTTTCCACTTCACTGGAAATGGTGAACCCCTTTTGGTTGATAGTTGAAGGGAAACAAGAGGACACCAAGCATGATAGGGTTTTAGGGGATTCATCTTTTTGTGATGCCAAGAGAATCCGCTTTCAAGTGAAAAACAGGCGCCGGACCCGATTTGTTGGTTCTTGGTGACATGGTTTTGCCTCTTCGAAGGTCAAGTAACGTATGGCCGTGGTTGTCAACACCGTTTTGGGATCCCATTTTGGTTGGGATTCGGTGAATTCACCACCTATTCTAGGACCTATTTTAGTGGTTGGATTGGGATGTTCACTGGGGGTACAATTTGGGTTTTGACCCGTGGCCACTTCGCTGGAAATGGCGACTCCCTGAGTTGGACTCTAGCCGCTTTTGGGCACCATTTTCTTGCTATCGGTGCGATAGGTAGGGAATGAGAAATGGAATGAACACAGGAATTGCAAAAAAAATGGAAACCACCAGTTGGATGGTTTATAGGGGTCATTCCATTTCTCATTCCCTGCTGAGCATCAGCAAGTTTCACTGGCAAACAGAAAGCCTGGGTAACTGTTTGGCCCAGCCACTCCAGGCAGCGAGATAAGCAACTAAATAGTTGCTAATTACTGGGATGTTCGCACAGCCAAGTCTTGGTAAGTGGAAAAGGCCACCGGAGTCACAATCAAAACCCGGTAGTAAAATGGTCTACCCAGAACCATGTAAAGAATTAAGAAGGCGGCCGCAACTATTTCTGGCTGGGACTGCCCCGTACTTTCCTTCATCTACCCGGGTTTTGATTGTGGCTCACGTGGGTTATAGCCAATGCCAAGGTCAACTCCACTGAATCGGGTTTTTTTCTTAGGTTACGATCACAACTTTCGAACTTGCCGAACACCCAAGAAACCCTTTTTTGGGACCTTGGCGAGACGTGGACCAAAATGAAAAACAAAACAACGAAAAGCAAGTCATGAGGTCAGTTTTGGGCCAAGACTTTCAGTTGGAGCCCCGGTGAACCTTACTTTCAGTCCTGCCACCCAGACTCCAAAAAGTATCAGTGGGGGAAAGGGGCCCAAAGGGTGGCGCTTGACTATGAACTTCCTCAAGTATGGAGTGCAAAGACCCAGGGTGGATGCGCTGCAAATATATCACCAGCAGAGCAACAAGCAAAACAGCTTGTATTTTTGGCAATACTGTGGCTGCGAAATGGATTTCGCAACCATCCACGGTCTTTCGGGCATCCATTTGACCCTTCAGCGCCCCACCAGCTTCGGCCTCTAACTCCCTAGCACTTCCCCGGAACCCGCCCGGAACTTCTCTCCACAACATCCCACAGAGCCAGGCGGGGCCTCTCCAAGACAGTCCAGGCCTCGGACGAGATGCAAGACGTGGCATGTCCACCGAATATGAGGAATGCGCGGTATGGGGGTTGGAGCTACTGTGGACAGAGGCCACTTTGAAACCAAGGGTGAAACCATGACGTTGGTTGGTATTTGCAGGAGAATCATCAGAAACCAGGGTTTCTTGGGTGTTGCAGGATTTCGCATGGGGGTTGGAGGTATGGAGGTTATTACAGGTTGTAAAAAACCTCGTTCCCTGCCTACTTGGATGCTCGGCCAAGTTTGTAAGTGGTTGGCCACCTGGGGTATAACCCACGAATAACAAGGTTTAGTCCACTTGGGGGAGCTGAAAAGCAGGTTATAGCTTAGGGTACTAACAACTTACCAACCCGGCCGAACACCCAAGTATCGAAGCAGCAAGTATAGTAGATAACCAGGGAGGCAACCTCAAAAGGGGCGCTCACTGCCGGAGTGCGTGGGCCAAAAAAAAAGAAGTCCCAGCGTTCTTGTTTTTGCAGGGATCCTTACATTATACACTTGAACATTGCCTTGTACATGGTGGTTTCCCTTTGTTCTGGTGTTGAAAAAGCCATGTTTCAACCGGTTGAAAAATGTATCTTTTAAGGATAAGGAGCCCTGCTTTGCTTACCACGAGAATGGCCCAAGCACAAAAAGGTGAGTCAAGCCACGAAACTCAGGGCGCGCCTCAGATCACGGGCTCCCCCTGCGAAAATACAGGAGCCACTAGGTTGGAGCTTGCTCCTGGACCAACATGCGAGTCTCTGGTCCATGAAAGGGGGGAGGCAATCATCTACCCCAAAAAGCGAACAAAAAGCGAACTTAGATGGCCAGGGTACTTAGTAGGTGATTTGTAAGCATAATTATGACCCACTGAATGGAGACTTACAACCATCTCTTTGCTGGTTAATATCCCACCAGGCTTACAATCACCACTTACCTCATGTACCGATCCTTCGCCCCGATCTCCCCTTTAAGTAAACCACCAGCCCTCTCCCATCAAAACCTTCCATTTGGTTAAGACCCCTGGAAAAAATATATAACAAATACCTCCAGTAGTGATAAATTCCTTTTGAAACCAACAAGGGAAAACGAAACATATTCCTTTCAGCAAATGAAAGAAACCCAAGACCCACCATACCCACCCCCCATACACCGGTGGTTTTCTGTTTCGCGGAATTGTTTTCCAGTTTTTTGGGGTATTTGTTTCCAGTTTCTTTCTCTAGACACTTGCACTGCAGATCTTCTCCGCCTTCTTCTGGATCACCCCAGGTCACAACAGCCCCAGATTCAAGAATGGCAGCAAAAGCACCGCCGCTTGATTGGATGCGCTTGACGCTTTTCAGCTGCTCCTGCACCTGGCTGCTGTCTCTGCCCCAGTCTGCCCAACCCCAGGTCACAACAGCCCCAGATTCAAGAATGGCAGCAAAAAGCACCACCGGTAGTTGCTTAGATGCGCTTGAGGTTCTTCAGCTGCTCTTGCACCTGGCTGCTGTCTCCGCCATACTCTGGATCGCCCCACGTGACAACATCCCCAGATTCAAGAATGGCCGCAAAAGCACTGCAAGTTGCTTGGATGCGCTTGACGTTCTGGAGCTGCTCTTGCACCTGGCTGCTGTCTCCGCCATCTTCTGGAACGCCCCAGGTGACAACAGCCCCAGACTCAAGAATGACAGCAAACGCACACTCAGCTGCTTGGATGCACTGGACGTCTCTCAGCTGCTCTTGCACCCAGCTGCTGTCTCCGTCTTCTTCTGGATCAACCCAGGTCACAACAGCCCCAGATGCAAGAATGACAGCAAAAGCACGCTCAGCTGTGTGAATGTGCTGGACATTCCTCTGCTTCTCTTGCACTTTGCAGCTGTCTCCTCCCATGTCTGAACGACCCCAGGTGACAACCTCGCCTCCGTGGACGTGCTAAACGAATGCCTTGTAGGTGGCTGCCAATGTGCCCGGCTGCGCAACCACGTCCACCACATCCCCATCTCGCAACTCAGCGCGGCTGTCAAGTCGAGCAAGTTGGTCTGTGCAAGTTGCTCTGCGCCAGTTGCTCCGTGCAAGCGCTTTGCGCATGTGCTCTGTGCAAGTTGGTCTGTGCAAGTTGCTCTGCGCAAGTGCTTTGTGCAATTGCTCTGTGCAAGTTGCTCTGCGCAAGTTGCTCTGCGCAAGTGACTCCGCGCAAGTTGCTCTGCGCAAGTGCTGCCGGAGCTGTGGGAATGTACTTCGCATACTATGTTTGTACTTAAAAGTTGCGATTTTCCAGCCGGAGCTGCGGGGGTGTGCTCCGCGTACTACGTTTGTACTTAAAAGTTGCGCGGGAGCACGCTCCGCATACTACGTCTGTACTTAAAACTTTTCCGCGGTACTACGCTGTACTTAAAAGTTTGCCGGAGCTGCAGGAGCACGCTCCGCGTACTACGCTGTACTTACTAAAAGCTGCGATTTTCAAGCCGGAGCTGCCGCGGACCAGGGGGGAATCGAACCCGCGACCGCGGGATTGCGAAAGCAGGCGCGCAAACCACGAGACAACTTCCAAAGGCCGTTTCGCGAGCAAGAATATTGCACGGCGCCACAGCGAGAGCGCTGCGACACGCACAATCTCCGCAGAGGGTTCGCCGAGACTAAATTCGCACGGCGCCACAGCGAGAGCGCTTCGACGCGCACGATCTCCGCAGAGGGTCGCGCGCGGACCGCAGAAATCGTAAAAAGTCCTCAGTTTTTGAACCTCGACCACGCGAATCTCCGCAGAGGGTCGCGCACGCATGCTAAAAGTCGTAAAAAGTCCTCAGTTTTTTAACCTCGACCACGCGAATCTCCGCAGAGGGTCGCGCGCGCATGCTAAAAATCGTAAAAAGTCCTCAGTTTTTTAACCTCGACCACGCGAATCTCCGCAGAGGGTCGCGCGCGGCCAGCAGAAATCGCAAAAAGTCCTCAGTTTTTGAACCTCGGCCACGCGAATCTCCGCAGAGGGTCGCGCGCGCACCGCAGAAATCGCGAAAAGTCTCAGTTGTTTGACCTCGACCACGCGAATCTCCGCAGAGGGTCGCAATCCCGAGCGACGATCAAACTCCCGCCCCGGCGCCTTAGAAACCTAAACTAACTTACATAGCTGCTAACGCCGAAGCTCTACGCAAGCTCTACCTAACCTTGGCTCTGTGCCACCTGGCTCTGTGTCACTTGGCTCTGTGCCACTTGGCTCTATGTAACTTGGCTCTATGTAACTTGGCTCTATGTAACTTGGCTCTATGTAACTTGGCTCTATGTAACTTGGCTCTATGTAACTTGGCTCTATGTAACTTGGCTCTATGTAACTTGGCTCTATGTAACTTGGCTCTATGTAACTTGGCTCTATGTAACTTGGCTCTATGTAACTTGGCTCTATGTATGTAACTTGGCTCTATGTAACTTGGCTCTATGTAACTTGGCTCTATGTAACTTGGCTCTATGTAACTTGGCTCTATGTAACTTGGCTCTATGTAACTTGGCTCTATGTAACTTGGCTCTATGTAACTTGGCTCTATGTAACTTGGCTCTATGTAACTTGGCTCTATGTAACTTGGCTCTATGTAACTTGGCTCTATGTAACTTGGCTCTATGTAACTTGGCTCTATGTAACTTGGCTCTATGTAACTTGGCTCTATGTAACTTGGCTCTATGTAACTTGGCTCTATGTAACTTGGCTCTATGTAACTTGGCTCTATGTAACTTGGCTCTATGTAACTTGGCTCTATGTAACTTGGCTCTATGTAACTTGGCTCTATGTAACTTGGCTCTGTGCAACTTGGCTCTGTGCAACTTGGCTCTGTGCAACTTGGCTCTGTGTAACTTGTCCAAGGGCTCCGCACGGAAGAACCCTTCGCGATGCTTTCGGGAAACAAATGTTTGCTTGCATGCTTGCTTGCTTGCTTGCTTGCTTGCTGGCTTGCTTCCTTGTTTGCTTGCTTGCTTGCTTGCATGCTTGCTTGCTTGCTTTAAAAGAAATGTTGGCTTGCATGCTTGCTTGCTTGCTTGCTTGCTTGCTGGCTTGCTTCCTTGTTTGCTTGCTCGCTTGCATGCTTGCTTGCTTGCTTGCTTTGCTCGCTTGCTTGCCTGTTTGCATGCTTGCTTGCTTGCTTGCTGGCTGGCTTGCTTCCTTGTTTGCTTGCTTGCTTGCATGCTTGCTTGCTTGCTTGCTTTGCTTGCTTGCTTGCCTGTTTGCATGCTTGATTGCTTGCTTGCTGGCTGGCTTGCTTCTGCGTTTGCTTGCTTGCTTGCTTGCTTGCTTGCGTGCTTGGTTGCCAACTTGCTCCAAATGCTTGCTTGCTGGCTTGCTGGCTTGCTGGCTTGCTTGCTTGCTTCCTTGCTTTGCCTACTTGCTTGCTTGCTTGCTAGCAAGCCCTCGGTTACGGCTAACCCCTTGCTTGCTTCCTTGCTGGTCTAACTAGAAAAAAATACGCCGAAAAACCGGAAAACAATTCCCCAGAAAATAGGGGAGCCCCATACACCCCCCGAATCATTCCACCCGGTCCGGCCGCTTTGCGGCTCGCCCGAAACCCGAGGCGCGGGCCCGCGGCAAGGCTCAGCTCGTAGGCCCCGTCGAAGTTGAGGCCCTGCAGCACCACGGACCTCAGCGCTCGACTCGCCACTCGCGACGCGCGGATTCGCGCGAGCTCCCGCGAGGCGACTCGGGCACAGAAAGATCGAGGCAAACGTGAACCAACCCATGCAAAAAAAAGGGGTGTGTGTCTTCTTCTTTCTTGTTGTTTTTTTTTTTTTTGGGGGGGGGGGGGCGGGGGGGCATACTCAACCAGGACAGGGATGTCTTTTTTTGGGAGGGGGACCCCAACAATGGGCGGTTGTTCGTTTGATATCCCTTTAAAAAACCACCAACAACGGTGGTGAAACATGAACCCAACCACTGTTTTAATCATGGCAACAGAATCCCAGGGATACTCAACCACTTACATCGCCCACGGAGGGACGGACCCCTTCAAAGGTATGGAACCCGTGCTTAAAGTGACCTTCAAAGATATGGACGGACACGCACCCTTTGAAAAGGTCTGGGATTCATTGGGGGACCCAAGATAAATTGATTGCGTCGTTTTTTAGGGGTCAAACTGTTTTAGGAAAGTTGGTTCGAAGCGTCGCAATGGAGAACCCCATAGGGAAACCAAAGGGAAACCAAAAGGAGCTGCCGATTTTTTATAGGTACATGGGGATTCAGGAGTACCGGCCGTTTTTAAAGATATATGGATTGCGAGCGGCAAAGGACGGCCTTTGCAACCAAATCGCAACTCTCTGCGTGACTTGACTCTTGGGAGCAGTTCATGATGGGGAAGCCTTTGGTGGACATCAGACAGCGGGTGATGCAACCACCAACAAATGTTTGAGGGGCCTGGTTCCTGGCCATAGGATCTGGCAAATTCTTGGGTGCCGTAGATTCCCCAGCAAAAATATTTTAACTTTTTGCTGGTCAAAAGGAAATATGAGGGGAATCCAAAAAGTTTAAAGTCTAAAAATCCCACCCAATAGCAGTACAGAATTGTACCTGAAGGGATTCGCAGATTTGTTCGGGAGGTGAAGCCAACAATCAAGAGGGATGTTCATGACATGAATGCCAACCTGAAATAGTCCAAAGTTCATAGCCAGCCTGATGGGATCCCCACTTGATCTTCATCCAGCTTTTTCAGAGCTCCCCATATCTCGCCCATTTGGGGTACTCCAAAATATATCTTCTGGGGTTGGAATAAGGGTACCTCTTTTTTGTAGTCGATTTTAGTAGCGGACCCCTCCCCCCAGAAAAGGGGGAAAAGGGCACTACTGGGGGACCTGGCCACGTAGAAGGTCCCCCTAAGTGGAGATTTGTGAGTTATAAACCCAAATAGCTACACCTCCCTCAGACTAACAGCCGGAAGCTCCCAGAAGGCCTCTGTAAATGGAACCAAGTCTTCCATTTCGGGGTCCTGGGAGCTTCCATGTCTGGGGGAGGGTATTCCATCTATCCTTTTAAGCAAACTTTGGAGGAGACACCAGTTCCCTTTAACATCAACACAAAGGCCAGTTCTCCGCATGGCCACTAGCTTGGGGAAGGGAGCGGAAATTAAATGGCCGCCAGATGAGTCGCTTTTTGAGGGCACCTTTTTGGGGTGGAAAGGGAAACAAAAGGGGACACCGACTTCCCCTATTTCGACACACACCATGTTGCAAGTACTTGCTTTGGCATGTTATATTGACATTCTTGGGGCTGGTGGTGCACAATAGCCTTTGAGGGAGTTGGCCGAGATCCCAATATTTAGGCTACAAGAAGATGCTACGTCAGGCCCCAGGCAAGTAGGTTCTAACCATGATTACGAGAGGATCAACCCCACTTGCCCTAGCTATAACCTAGGTCCTGGCAGCAGAGAGGTTCGAATAAGGGTACCCACTTTTTTCTGTAGTCTATTTTAGTGGGGGAACCCTCCCCCAGAAAGTGGGTAAAAGGGGAATACTGGGGGACCTAGTCACCATGGTTATGACCCCGACTTGCCGGACCTTGGCAACGAACATCCGCTTGCGGGTAATTAGGAAACCGCCCATTGAGGAACACCACCAAACCCCCGAATCGGCAAACCAAACCACCAACTAGAGGGAAGACGAACCAAACCCAAACCACCAAACCTACCCTTAACCACAAAACCTACGCTTTACCACCAAACCCCCGAATCGGCAAAGCAAACCAAATGGCCATGGGTCAAAATCCAAATCGTACCCCCAGTGAACATCCCAATCCAACCACTAAAATAGGTCCTCAACTGGGTGGTGAACTCACCGAATCCCAACCAAAATGGGATCAACCACAACGGTCTTGACCCCACAGCCAAATGAGTCACAATCAAAACCCGGTAGTAAAATGGTCTACCCAGAACCATGCTTCAAGAATTATGAAGGCGGAATTCCGCAACTATTTCTGGCAAGGGGACTGCCCCTTACTAACCTTCATCTACCCGAATCGGTTTTGAGCACGTGGCTCAAATGGTGGTTTGGATTGGGGTTTCGGTAAGCCCCTAAGGTCCAAACCACCGGGCACCAAACCACCAATTTGAAGGAAGCTGGCGCTGATCCCTGGCTGGCGAAACGTGGGCTCTTTAGCCTACCTTGGCAACTCTTCCAGTGATTTGGCCCTTGGGTTGGCCCTTCTTCCGCCCCTTAAATGGAAACAAGGGTTTTGTGTTTTCTGAAGAAACAAGGCCCTTGCAGGGTTTTCTTCCCTATATATGTTGGCTCAAATGGAAAAAAAAAAAGGGTTTCAGCCCCCGCCCCCGGCCCCCCCCCCGCTTTCCATCCCCTCTGCCCCATCGATCCGATCTCCGATCCGGGTCCCCGGGCTCCCGGTACTCCTCGGGGCTCAGGCGGCACGCCGACGGGTCCCCGCGCGCCTCGCGGCGGAGAAAAATTTCGCTCGGGAGCCGAAACCCGGCGGGGAAAGCCGGGGGAAAGTTCGCCTTTTCGGCGGTCCTGGAGAGAATGTGGCTGGGTACAACTAGGTCCTCCAGATTGGAGAGATGTTAGAAGGGTACCAACTTTTTTCAGGCCTTCCGCGGAGAAAATGCCCCCCCCCATTACAAGGTATCTCGGTTGCTTTCTGCTGCCCTGCTAAAAGTTTAACTTTTAGTGGTTTAGTGGAAAACCCATTAGTTGGCAAAAAGTTGAAGTCCTAACAGCCAAGCAAAATGCACCAAAGGTATGTCAATATACCTGAGCTTTATGAGATTGTCAAATGCCCCTGGGCACAAGGCATGTAAGCGATCCCTGGCGCCTCCAGCAGCAGGCCGGCCGCCTGGCCGAGCGCCAGGTAAGGATTTGAGGCCTGAAATCTGGGCCCAAACTCACTTTTGAAGGGATCCCGTTGATTTCTTCCAAGGTCAGAAGTGTAGCCCCTTTTGACTAGTCACATCAAGCTGTTTGTGTCCACCAATCCTGGAGGATATGTCTGAGCAAAATTCACGGCCATCCCCCATATAATGGGGCGGGGCGGTTGTGCGAAAATGGCCGAGAAATCCAGCAGTCTGTCCTGCAAGTTAACCCCACGTTCGACACCAACCTCTGGTGCTCTTTGGCTAGGTGTCCCTTCGGAATACATTGCTGCAAGTACATTAGGATCAAACCGAAACCAGGGGAATCCCGTCCGTGTTCAACCAACTTGGACCGAAATGGATAAGGATCCAAAATTGTGGACATGGTTTGGTTGGGGATTCATCTCCAGCAACCACTTTTGGATCGCTGGTTCCAACCATTAATGTTGACCCCATATTATTAATCAACCAACCTGTGTATTAATAGGGGGTGGTTTTTGGCCCCTCCTAAAGTGGTCTGATTCCAACCACATTTCAACCCGGAAAAAACACCCTCTATTAAAAAACAGGTTGGTGGAGTAATATGGCCATGGGTCAAAACCCAAATCGTACCCCCAATGAACATCCCCCCCCCTGAAATAGGTTCGAAAATGGAGGTGCGCCAAGAAAAAAACAAAATAAAACAAGAAAACAAGAAAACCATCCCCACCAAAAAAAGTATAGGTTCGAAAAAGAAGAAAACAAAAATAAGAAACAACAAGAGAACAAACAAAAAGAGAAAAAGAGAGAGAGAAAAAGAAAGAAGAGGAAAAAAAACGCGCCGAGGCTGGCCGCCGCCCACAGGCACCTCATAAACGCCTCGTTGAACGAAGCGCTAGCGCTCGGCGGCGCAAGGGGAAGGGCTTGGGACATGGGCGAGGTGGATCAGGGATCCTTACATTACCTGAACATTGCAACTTGTAAATGGTGGTGTCCCTTTGTTTTGGTGTTGAAAAAGCAACATGGTTCAAATGGTTGCAAAATGTATCTTTTAAGGAGCCCTGTGGATGTTCCGCCCTGCCCTAGCCTCTGTCCAACAGCTTCCTTTTGGTTTTCCTTCAAACCTAGCAAAACAGGGTACCCCATAAAAGACACACCCAATTGGTCATGTTTCAATTTTACCCTTTTTGCAACAATCATGGAAGTGGACGATCAGAGAAGGAAAATGGTCTTCCAACACGCGATCGTGGACTTCCATCATTGTTGAAGAGTATCCTGCAAACTACCCCGGACATATCTGGGTGACCAAGAGAACACCGAATTCAGACCCCCAAACAACTGGTTGTTATGCAAAAAAAGGACACCTGGCAGATCCCCCGAAGAGCTTGGGCGAAGAGCACCGATTTTCTTGCGATGAACACCTCCGGGCGTCGTCAAACGGATTTGAAGCCGGCCGATTTGAAGCTTCTTCCGCTCGTGGTTTTTGGGGAGAAAGAAACTGGGGGAAGTCAAGCTATGCCTTCCGGAAGAATTCCGATCCGGGGTGGGTCCCCCGATTCCATTTATCTAGTCTTCCCCATGAAGGGAAAATGGAACTATAAAAGGAACTCCAGGGGTCACCCCCCTCCCAACCCTGGATGACTCGAAAGTGAAAAAAAAAGGCTGCGAAGCTGCCGGGCCCTGAGCGTTTCCAATCCCTGGCTTTAGGGATCCCTCGTGTGTCATGACGTACATGGCTATGAATGTTGGGAATCACCTCAAAAGTGGTTCGTGGACATGAATCCCCACCTACATGATATCCACCAAATTGTCCTTTTGCTTGGTTGACGTTGGAAGGGGAGCAGAAAATTAAATTTTAGCAGGCAAGTGAAGATTTCCCACTAAACCACAATAAGCAAAAATGTAAAATATGTCCAAACAACAACCATGTTTGGAGCCATCAAAGTTCACCGGGACCCGTGTGCGTTGTATGAATAAACGAGAAACTAAACAGGTGTCCGGCCAGTAGAGTTGTACTTGGATGTTCGTTGCCAACGTCAGCTAGGCCATAACCATGGTAAGGGGATCAACCAACCAGTTACCCGATTCATAACCATGGTTGTAACCTGCTTTGATTGAGCATCCAGCTTGGTTGCTATTGACCCCCCTGCAAAAAGATTAACTTTTTGGGGGTCTAGTGAAAAACACCTTTATTTCGCAAAAAGTTAAAGTCTAAAGATCCAACCCAAGAGCAGTCAAGCCAAGCAGAATCCATCTGTGAAACATTTCCCTCCGACCCCTCCGGGCCCCGAAACTCGGCCCGCGGCGGAGCCACCCATGCTTTCTGGACGGCCCGGAAGCTAAGCCCCGCCCTCCGCGCTTCTTCACAAGGAATGAGGTGACGTCTGCTACCCCAAGAGCTACGTCTGACTTTTGTTGGTTTTGTTGGCTCCCCTCTGGAAAATTCTGAGAGCAGCTCGCACGTGAAAGCCGAGTTTGGACGGGTATCTTGGGGCGAAGTTAGCCGCCCGAGGAAGGCCTAAAGGCACCTTCCGGCGCCAAAAATTCTGAGTGAACTCCCTGATCAAGCCCGAAAAAAAGGCCCTCCCTGGAATGCCCACGCCTGCGCTTTTTTTGGCCGTGCCGAAAAAAAAATCTGCTTGGTATGGGAACCATTTTCCGGCATGTCTTACCCGCGGACGCCATCTCCAGCCAGAAGCGGCGAAACAAAGAAACGAGGGGACAGGCGTTCAACGAGGGCAACCGATTCATCTGAATCTCGACAACGTATTCGACAGAAAACTTGAGGACTCCATTCAGGGCAGGACTCCAATCCCAAGATATACGAAACAAACATATCGGACCTTGCGATGCGCATCAAAACCACCAAGGACATGACTCCAAGAAGCCAGCCGGGGTCTTGTGGAAAATTTTCACTAGGTGGCTTTGGGTCAAAAATAGGTACCCAAAATGGAACCCTGGTAAATGGAACCAAAGACTGTCCCGAGCCCAGACCACTTGAAGAATGCGAGGCGTACTGACCCCAAAACAACACGGGCCCCCAAAACAGGGGCCCCCAAAAGGAGATTAGCAAAATTTGGGGCAATCCTCAGACGAGATTGGGGGGAAAAAACCCTTCATATAGTGGCTGTATAGTGGCATAGTGGCTGTATATCCCATTCAACCCTTTCGATGGGTAGCGGTTTGGGGGTAGTGGTTTGGTAGTAGAAACCATCAGGGGCCATAGAACTAACCGCTTAGGAGACTTACAACCTTGGTAAGGGGGTTATAACTATGGTGTTTGCCCACTTACTACGTACCGTGCCTCTTCAAGTAGTAGACACCATCGTAGATAATAATAATAATAAAGTGCACATGAAAGGCGCTATGCTTCTCCAACGCCGTGATAACTGAAGCATACACATCAAAGCCACCTGGCAGAGTCCATATGGGACTCCGGCTCAAAATGAGGAATCGGCCCAAAATGGGTCGCCCTGGCAAACGGGAGCAGTAGACTAAAACCTGCAGTCTTTTGTTTTAACTTTGGGCACACCAAATATGGATGTGTCTCTTTCTGAAGGTGCCCTTTTTGTGGCCCAGGCCATAAGGCAAACCCTTATAAAGTGTAGAACTTGTAAAAGCTTCCTTATAAAGCTGTCTTCTAAAGGAGCTTTCATAAAGGAATCACCATTTTGAAAGGTCCCCCACAACAAGACATACCCATCTGTGGATGGAGGAATTCCGTTTCGCACCACTTTGAAACCATGGGAAACCATCATAGGTTGGTATTTGCCGGGGAATCATCGCTCCAGGGTTTCTTAGGTGGTGCAGGATTGCGTCCATCCACGGCATGTTGTTGTTTCAAAGCAACTAGAGCAGTACAATAGTGCCCTGGCAAGTTTGCTGCCCCGAATGGGGTTCCTGGAAGAGAAACTCACCACATAAGGACCAAGTTGTTGACCATTTGGCCTCGTAAGTCGTGGGTGAAGAAGGTGTTTTTGAACGACCATGCGCTTGCTGTTGTGTGGTAATTGTTTGCTCTTGCTCGCCATTTCTGTCACACCCACACCTGGTGCTCCATAGGGAGGTTTCGCATTTACAATCTTACACCCTGGGAATACACCCACTGGGTAGTATTGACGGGTCATTTCCCAAAGGTGTAATCCCAGGGTGTAATACAAAAACCTTCAGATACAAGGAGTTCCTTATCCTTTTCGGGGCAAACGCTCCGTTCTGTTCCACCTGGATCAGGTGGACTAATTCGTTGATCGACATCATCACATCTGGTTGCGCAGGCTTCCCAACCAACACCTAAGAAATCCTGGAATGACGATTCCCCTGTAAATACCAACCTTTGATGGTTTCCCATGCATTCCAAGTGCGAAATGGAATTCCTCCATCCACAGTACTACAAACCCCTCAAAGTCGGAGTCCAGCCTGTGCCAACTTGGATGAAACATGCGGAGAGACGAAAGTCGGGTTGGTCTCTAATCTAAGAAAACCCCCGACCAAGATTTATCCCTCAAGAACACGTTGCTTCAAGTCAACGTTGACAACCAAAAAGTTGATAATCTAAGAACACGTTGACTCTCAACCTTTTGGTTGAAACCCCTTGGTGAGCTGCTTGAACTTCCCACCCGCCCCTCCGCCCTTGGCCCTCGGCCCTCCCTCTCTCCCTCCCTCCCGTTCCGCGGTAATCTCTTCGCACGTCCTTCCACCGTCCGGTTCTCTTCGCATCTTCGGGCCATCCGTCGCACGCGAGGCTTCACCCCCTTTGCTCTAGCTCGCCTCCTCTGTCTTCAGGCGCGCGTTGCGGTTGGTGACCTACGAGAGACAAGTCGAGACGTCGAGACGTCCAGATTGACTCCAGATTGACCCGCAGCCTTCGTCTTCTTCTTCTTCTTCTTCTTCTTCTTCTTCTTCTTCTTCTTCTTCTTCTTCTTCTTCTTCTTCTTCTTCTTCTTCTTGTTTTGGGGGGGGGGTCGGGTTCCTTAGAATGAAGCAACACTTGGTGTGAAAGAGTGGTTCTGTAGCTGGCCCAAACCTGTCTCAACTTTTCTTAGATGATTGATCCCTTGCTAAAAGTCGCACCTGGTGGGATGTGCGAGATACATCCAACAACTCCAAACACTCAAAAGCTGAAATTCTAAGGAGCCTGCCGTAGGGCTGGGAGCCTCCAAATTGTGTGGTTTTCATTTGAAAAGAAATCGAAGTCCTGGCTTTTGGGGGGGAAAACTGAGTGGTGTCCCCAAGGAAGTTTCATGGGACAGGGTTTTCAGCCTGGAAATTTGTTTGCCAGAGATTATTCCGGCCCAGACCAAACACGATACTTAAAAAAAAATGGCATTGAATTTACTTTCAACCACCCTAAGACGGCACCACCCAAAGAGACCTACCCGCTTTCCGACCATCAAGTCGGCAGGTTTTTGGAAGACTACCATCCTCTTCAAACAGCGAAACATGTCCACGGCCACGGCTTGAAAAAGGCACTCAGACTTCCGAGATTGACTCTGGTCCATATTTTTGTGAGCCTCAAATTACAGAAACAACAAGAACAACTCTTGGCAGAGACCCCAGAGCTCAAAAAGAAGAAAAACAACGCGAAATGAGCAGAAAGCAAATACCGCGCTCTGTCCAGTGACATGGCGCCTGGGCACCTTGTGGAAGGGTCACCTGCAAGATCTGTCTCCTCTTGGGAATAAGTGCCTTGTGAGGCTCATGAAGCAACCTGGGACAGTGGGCAATGGGTAATACTTGGATCAACTTAGTAAGGGGGCCATAACCCTGGTACGGGGGCCAACCAACCAGTTACCCTGGTTATAATCACGGTTGTAACCTACTTACCTGATGTTGGTTAATCAAAGATTCATCTCTTGGAGATCAGATTGTTCCCACTAATTAATGTTGGCAAACTATCCCTGGCACTCATTTGGCCATGGGTCAAAAGCCCGTACCCGAATCCCAATCCCCACTAAAATAGAAGCTGAAATGGATGGTGCACCTACCCCAAAATGGGATCCCATTGCTTTTGACCCACAGCCAAATTTCCCCAAACCCTTCATCTCTTCCCCAGCTCGATTTTGGCAAAAACATCGAGCGCTCAAAGCCTTCCATTTGGTTAAGACCCCTGGAAAAAAAAATCCGGCAGTGATAAGTTCCTTTTAAAACCAACAAGGGAAAATACAACAATATGCTTAAGCAGATGGAAGTTATCCCAACATCTCTCTGAGCTTCTGTTTGATCACCCTGCGAATAGCGGAATTCATTTCAGCAAATGGAAGAAGTGGCTTGGCGCCCGCGCGTAGAGCCGGAGCTGGTCGGCGCGCTCCACGATCTCCTTGCGCCTAGGGTCCGACGAAAGAGCGAGCGGAAGCCTCTGCGCTCCTTGGGGGCCGTTGGTGGTTTTTTCCTGCCGGTGATTTGGCCCTTTGGGGGGTTGATCAACTGAGTCGCAATCAAAACCTGGTACCAAAATGGTCGACCCAGGAAGGCGGCCGCAGCTATTTGTGGCTGGGATCATCCCTTACTAACCTTTATCTACCCAGGTTTTGATTGTGGCTCAACTAGGTCCACCAGATTTGAGAGGTTTCTTCTTCCAGTGATTTGGCCCTTGCGGGGTTGGTCAATATTCCCTTCGGCCCGAAGATGACCATTGGTCACTTTTTCCATGAAGTCAAAGATCAACTAGGTCCTCCAGTAGAGAGGACTTAGAATAATTTGGTGCCAACTTGTTTCTGTAGTGGAAACCCCTCCCCCAAAAAAACGGTAAAAGTTGGCACTACTGGGGGACCTAGTAAAATTCCCTTCGGCCCCGAAATGACCATTGCTAGCTTTTTCCGTGAAAGTGTTGGTGGTTTCCCTGATGGTCCCCTGTCCATTGGACCTTTTGATCAACCCCCATTTGGGTCTGTTCAGGATGAAGACTATCGCCGTGGTCCACAAAGAAAAGGTTCCCTTGTGTGCCAAACCCTTGGTCGAAAAAGAAAACAACATGTGCTTTTTGGCAGCCCCTACTAAAATGGACAGAACCAAAAACCAAAAAAGTAGAAGCATGCCAACAAATGAAGCACGGTATCACAAGAGGTGGACTTGAAAGCCGAAAGCCGATCTTCCGCAAGCGGTCCAACGTCATCTTCCGCTCATGAGACGAGAGCGGTCTCGAACACCAGGTTCACTACCCCAAAATCGGACTTCCAAACTGGTGGGCTTCCAAACCCCAGCCACCCCCCCCCCCCACAAAAAAAAACAAAGAAACACAAAGAGAAAAGACACAGAACCAACTCCAAAAAGGGCACGCCCACAAGGGTCTGTCTCAAAAAAATCGGCGGCCCTTTTGGCACGGCTTCACAGACTGCGTCACCAAAAACCACCCGCTTTTTTACCAGGGGATCGTTGAAGTCGGCCTGTGAAAGGGTGATTTATCGACTGGCCCAAAGCTGCCGCGGTGGAGGAGCCCTGCCGGCTTTTGGGATGGCTTCAAAGGTATTGATAGATCAGAACTACCTACAAACAGCAAGGCGGGCAATGCCTTTCTCTTGAGCCAATGTCGATTGGTATACACCGTGCATCATGTTTTGCCACCTACCAACAACAAAAGGCAACCCAAAGCTTGGTGCTCGCTGATCAAAGTTAGCTTCCTAGCGGGATACGTCGCAAATCCAGCTACTCTCCAAAAAACTACAGGGCCTACATACGGCGAAGGGAGTTGAGTGGGGCAACTTTAGTCATGATACGGACAACTCTTCATCAGCTAGCCCAAATTGAATTACATTATACACCTGAACATTGCCTTGTAAATGGTGGGTTCCCTCTATTTTGGTGCAAAAGCCATGTTTCAAATGGGCAAACATGTATCTTTTAAGGAGCCCACATTGAAAGTCTAAGAGCGTGAGCCACCACTCACTTTGAATGGATTGCCAACAAGCGTCCAATTTCTTCGTTTACCACTGCCCCGCTGCCCAGTTTGGACCCAGAAATAAACTTAGGTCCTCCAATAGAAATAAACTTAGGTCCTCCAATAGACAGGGTAGAATAAGGGTACCCACTTTTTTCTGTAGTCTATTTTAGTAGAACCCTCCCAACCAAAAAAGGGGTGAGAAAGGGCACTACTGGGGGACCTAGAAAGGGTTACCCTTCGGGACCTTTTCTAAAAGTGGCCAAAAAGTTTGAAAACCGGTCGATTCGCCTGAAACAAGGCCAAAGCTGTCTTCCCAAAACGGAAGCACAGGGGCATCGTACATAGCAACTGGTTAGGAAGCCTGCGGGTTATAACCAAGCCATGGTTATAAGTTTCCTTTCCGCGGGTTCTCCAGGCTTACTCTCACCACTTACCTGTGCCGAATCGATAGCCCCTTTCCTTGGTTCACGTTGGAAGGGGAGCAAAAAAATAAATTCTAGCAGGCAAGTGAAGATTTCAACCACTAAACCGCAATAATAAGCCAAAATGTGTGTATATATATATTTTCCCCAACAACAACCATGTTTCAGCAGGATCTCGGGGCTTCCGAGGCCAAGGGAAACCAAGCGGTTTTTGACTCGCCGCCGACTTCCGCTGACCCAATTCCGCTTCGGGCCCCGGGCTTCTTGGCCCCGATGTTGTGCGCCACCTCCACGGCATACTTCTCCTCAGAGAAAAAAATCGGGAGCTAAGTCTGGTTGGAACCCACTTAGGAGACTCTGCTGATATTATGTATTTATCTATCTATTTATCTATTTATTATTTATTTATTTGTTTATCTATTGATGTATCTATTTATTATTATTTATCTATCATATATGTAGATTTATCTATTTATTTTTCCGGAGCGGGAGCGGGGTACCTAAATGCTGGTGCGAGAGATGCAGGGAACGCGAGAAATGGCATGACCCCAGGAAAAACCATCCAACTCATGGTTCCCTTTTTTTCGGGGACCAAAGCCTGGGTTCATTCCCACTTTCCCTACTGGGCACCAGCAAGTGAAAGGGGCAGGGCAGCTTGGATGTTCGTTGCCAACATCAGGGAAGTCGGTTATAACCGCGGTTACAACTAGGGTAGCTGGGGTTGGTCCCCTTATAACTATGGTTATGACCTGCTTAGCTGACGTTGGTTGAGCATCCAAGTACTTTGTAAGTGGTTAGTAGCCTTGGGAGTTTATATATATATATACACATGCGAATATATATATATATAACATACTATATAGCCTGTTTACAATGGCTATAAGTCTCCTATGCGGGTTCCAACCAGACTTACTAGCCAGTTACGAAGTACCCTGCCCCCTGCCCCTTTAAGTGCAGACAAAGGTCAGACCCGCTCCTACCATCCTGTTAGCTTGGAAGTTGGATGTCCGTCGGCAAGTTAGCCAGTGGAAAAGGCCACCTGCGTCATTACCCGCTGAGAAGGCTCCGCTGAACAGAGGACTTCCGGCCGAGTTGTAACTTGAGTTATTTTCACAACTTTCTGACTTGGCGAATGGAATCCAATGCGGATGTTTTGCTGGAAGTGAGGGCTGGGGTTTTGGGGGAGGGTTTGGGAGAGGGGTTTGGAGGGGTTTGGGGTTTCTTGAGAGGGGGGTTCAGGATTTGGGGCTTTGGGGTGTGGGGTTCAGGGGGCCAGGGAAAAGGTTCTGCATGTGTGCCAGCGATCACTAAGTGAAGGGAAATGTGGTAGACCCTACGCTTTCGGTTGCATGAGCGCATTGCTTCGAGTCGAGGTCAACAGCAAAAACTGGGCCTCCTCTTTCGGTGGGATGCAAATCCTCTTCTTCAAGAAATGGATGTGGCGTCCCCCACCCAATTTCGACAAAAATCGAGCCACAGGCGTGCCGTTTTCTGGTAGAGGCATGCTTATGATTGCAGGGTCCCAGGACACATTTGGCCCAGCTGAGATGTTTCACCAATAAAACTGATTTAGAGGATCCGAATCCTTGGAAGGGTTCGCTTTGGGCTGTGGGTGGCTCGTCCCTTAGATTTCGGACCCCGCCCCCCCCTCAAAAAAAAGGGGAAAACATGGCGGTTGTCTTTGAGGGGTTTCCCTTTCAAACCACCCCAAAAAGGGCAACCTCAAAAGAAGACACCCCCATGTGCCTAAGGCACCCCGGCTTGCCCCGAATTTTTCCAGGAATCTCCTGCACCATCCGCCATCCGATCCCAATCCACCCAAAACTTTGGGCCCCGAGCATTGTGCATCAGCAGCATCTCCAGGTCGGCGGGGCAGCGCCTCAGGTCTCCCCCCCCCAAAAAAAAGCGAGGTAGATAGGTGAGTGTGGGTGTCTGTCTGTGCGTGGCTGCCAAAAAAGTTCGGACTCCCCAAAATTTGGCCGGTCTCCCTTTATGTGTGTGGTTTGTTTCAACCGACCCACAAATGGTTACCAAACTCCCCATCTGGCCATACTGTGGATGGACGAAAACCATCTCTCGCCACCTCAGAAACCTGGAATGATGATTCCCCTGTAGATACAAACCAACGCAAATGGCTGTTCCTTTGGATATCCTACCCACCCCCGAAAAAGAAGAAGACACCAACAAATACGCGTGTCACAAAAAGGGGGGGGGTCGTATGACTTCGGGGTTCGTATGTCCCTCGCCGAGTCGCCAGTCCCGGCTCTGAGGCTCGGGCACCACGAACTTGTAAAAGCCGTTCTTCAAGCGGAATCGCCTCAGATTCGCTCTCTGCCGTTGGGGGAATGTCTTCAGCGCCTTCAGGTGGCTTAAACGGAGTCCTTTGAGAGGAGGTTTTAAGAAACGTGTGTTTTTTTTCTTGGGGGAATGTCAATAGGGCCTTCAGGTGGCTGAAAAAGGAGTTCTTTGTTTTTAAGGCCCGGAGGCGGCTTGAACATGAATTTTCCTTTTTTGCTTGGGGGGGTTTGAGCATCCCAAGTGGTTGAAAGTGAATGCACTCCGATTCGAATCGAAGCCGGGAGGCGAGCTGCCGCCCGGCGATTTCACGCGGAATCGCTTCCCCCACCAAAGGCATCCCCCCGCTGTTAGGAGGTTCGACAAGTGAGGGTCTTTAGGGCACAAGCTCATCACGGTATAAAACAGGCACTAGGTCCTCCAGTAGAGAGGTTAGAATAAGGGTACCTTTTTTTTGTAGTCTATTTTAGTAGGGGAACCCTCCCCCAAAACAGGGTAAAAGGGCACTACTAGGGGGATCTGGAGCACCCTGAGATTCGCGTATGTCACAAGGGAAACTTCGAACATAGCGAGGCGATGTCGTCCGGACCTCACGGTGAAGGAGTTCCAAACTTCAGGAGACATCCAAAATGAGGGCGCCCAGTTGGCTGTATGGCTGCGCAGCGGAAACCTCTTGCCTCGTCGGCGAAACTTGTCCACCTCCCCCACCTGCGCCCCTCTCCCCCACCCCACAGCAGCCCTATGCCCCCCACCTCACCTCACCTCCCTTCCCCACCCCTCTTCCCCCTCCCCATCTCCCCACCAGATCAACACTGCGTTGCGCAGTGTGCTAGCGGCTTTTTTTCCCAAAAGTGGGTCACAGCCCATTCTGTGCATGGACGAAATCCGTTCGCCCCACGAAATGAAACCAGGGTTGAAGCCATATCGTTGCACGTGCGGGCCCTGGCTTCTCCCCACTCCTTTCCCCAAACCGCCACCTCCCTACCTCTCCACCTCCCCATCTTCTAGGCCCTCTACTTCAAGGGGCGATCAGGTACTTAGTAAGTGGGTAACAACCCTGGCTTTACCCCACTTACCATGGCTACAAGTATCCCAAGTGAACTCTCACACTAAATATGGCTGGGTTTCCTTTGGTTCTCCTCTTAAACCCAACAAATGGCACCCTCGAAAAGAAGAAGAAAAAAAGTCTAGATCCAGGCCATACTGTGGATGGACGAAATCCTGCACCCCTTTGAAACCACGGGGAACCATTGTTTGCTTGGTATCTACAAGGGAATCATCCATCCAATGTTTCTCAGGTGGTGTGAAATGGATTTCGGCCATCCACAGGATTTCGTCCATCCATCGGGAGGGGCAAAATAAAGAGAAAAGAAAAGAAAAAAACAAAAAGGAAGAAGAAAAAAACAAAAAACACGCACGATCACGCACACGGGCCACTCCGTTCTTGCTCTCTCTCCTTGGCCCCCCGGGTTTCCGGGCGTCTTCTTGTCGGAGCCGTAGCCGATCTTCGGGCAGAGCGTGGAGCCCTTGAAGCGGCGCCGCACGCGGCCGTCGATGCCCCGGGGCTTGCGCCAGGCCGGGTTCATGCGCTTGAAGCGGTCCGCTTGGAACCGGGGGAACTTCTTGGTGCGCTTCTTCACGATCTTCCTGAAAAAAACACAATCGAGTCAGCGAGCCGGCAGTAGCCAGCGTTCTTCTTTTCTTTTTCTCGGGCCAGAAACCTGCCAGCAAGTTGAAAGGAAAATCTGGGGGGGAAATCTTCACGCTCTTCCCCGATCGATCCGACCCTTGAAGCCGCGGTCCTTGCCAAGCTCGTAAGTGGAAAGGGCCAACCCCGGGTTATAACTTGCTGCGATAGGGAATGGTCCGTTCAACACCACCAGATGGATGGTTTAAATCGGGGTCATTCCATTTCTCATTCCCTACTGAGCACCTGCAAGATAACCCACAAACAACCAGGCTCGCTTCACTTGTCGCCTCAAGTTCCGAGTCCATTTTTTGAGAAACGCCCACCAAGCCGCTGCAAACGGAGCCTTCCGCCTGGGTTGCCCCCAATCACAGGTGCAGGTGGTTCCTAAGATCGAAGACTCACTGATGGAACTTGGCATCTCAAAGAAGAGCCACTCTTTCTGTGCTTTAAATATATATATATATATACATATATATATATATACATATATATATATATATATCATGTCAACATTATATATGTAGGTCTGGTTTCATCATTTTAATCTGTATGTCTGTCCCTGAACACCTAACGAAAAAAGGGGGTAATCCTTTTATTTGAGCGCAGAGGCCTCTTGCTTCAACATCCTCTAAGCTCCCCAAAATATGGTGGCCAGGGTATGGTTGTTTGATCAACATTTGCCCACGTCTCCTTGGTGTCAAGGGCCAACAGGGTCGAATAGCGACTAGGTCCTCCAGTAGAGAGGTTAGAATACGGCTACCCTTTTTTCTGCAGTCTATTTTAGTAGGGGAACCCTCCCAACCAAAAAAGAAACGGTAAAAGGGCGGACCTAGGCGACGAACATTCCTTTTTTAGGGGGCCCCGTCTTTGGCGGCCCCTCTTTGGGGGCCCCCTCTTGCCCTGACAGCCATGGGAGCCGTGGGAGCCATGGGATGGTTGGACTCCAGCCATGAACGGCGTCAGCGAACGGCTTCGCGCAAGTGTCCTCTTGTCGGCAGGAGTGGGCATGGCTCCTGGAGGCCAGGTCGCCCCAACACGCTTCAGGGGGAGGGGGAGGGGGCCCGGAAGGGGGGGGCTTGTAATAATGGAAGGAAACCTCTTCAGGGTTCCCTTCTTAAAGCCAAAAAAGTATATATAAAAAATCAGGGTCCCCCAGAATTATGTGGGAGGCATACCCACATACATGGGTGCAAGCGCCAACAACAGAATCAAGACAGAGAGAGAGAGAGAGAGGGGAAAGAGAAGAGAAAGAGAAAGACAAAGGCAATGGCAAAGTAAGACATTCACAAAAGAGAAAGGCAAAGAGAGAGAGAGAGAGACAGAGAGAAAAAAAAAGAAAAAGAAAAAACAAAAACATCAGCTCACCACCTCCGTCCTGTGCTTCAAGCGGCTTTTGCCACAATTTCTCGGTGGAGGACGGGGGCGATGGATTCCCTTTGAGCCCGTCGTGCCGAGTCACGCGGAACGAGGCGTGTGCACGCGACCAAGAGCGATCTCGATGCGATCTGGATGCCCCCGCCAGACTCCAAGATGGCGTCCCCTACCCCCAAAAACTTTCCCCACAAAAAAGGCTTGGGTGTATATTAACACCTTATACAGGGGCTATATGCTTGCTTCATATGCCTGCCGGGTCAAAAATTGGTACCCCAAATGGCACCCTAGTGTACACATGGACCAAAACCTGCGGTCCAATTCCTGGTGGTTTCAATTTGACCCATGCCCATATGCTTGCTGCATATCCCATTGCACGCTTGGGGCTAGCAGTTTCGAGACAGGAAAGGCCCACCTCGGCGCCAGCGGAGGGGAGAAAACATCGCGAAGAGACAGGGTTCCCCATATGGGTGTGGGTCAAAATTAAACCACCAGGAATTGGACCCCAGGGTTTAGTCCTGAGTTCCATTTGCCAGGGTTCTATCTTGGTACCCATTTTTGACCCACGGCCATATGTCCATATTAGCTGTGGCTCAAAAAACCGGTAATTTGGACTAAAACCTGCGGTTTGCCCCTCCTGTGTCATTTTGAGCCACACCCATATTGGCCGTGGGTCAAAAATAAAGGGAACCCCGAAATGGGTCGCCCTTGTAATGGAACCAAACGACGAAATCTCTGCGGTCCCATATCCTGGCGGTTTGATTCTTGACCCATACTCACATGGGTCCTCCTCAAGCATCTACCATGCCAGTTGTGCCCAACGGCAAAAAACTATCATTCAGCAAGAGGCCCGCGAAGCTATGCGGAAAAAACAGATTCCTTCAGCAAGATCCCAGTGAAACCATGCAGAAAAACAAAAAAACCTGGTCCCATGGCTGCACCACAAGTGTGGAAACCCGCGCCAGCGCCCCCCAAAAAAAGGGGGCCTTCTCTCTTGCGGTGTGGGGAGCCAGCGGGCCGGATCGAATCCACTTGCTTCTTGAGGACCCCGAACAATTTTCCAGGTGATCACCTGAAACTCTTTGCCTAGATCCTCCAGTAGAAAGGTTAGCATAAGTTTGTACCAATTTGAGAGGTTAGCGTAAGTTTGCACCAGCTTTTTTCTGTAGTCTATGTTAGCAAGTAGGGGAACCCTCCCAAAAAAAAGGGGCAAAAGGGCACTACTGGGGACCTAGTTGCTAAAAGTGGGCGTCAAAAGTTGGAAAACCCAAAGCCCGAAAAATTGGTCGACTCGCCTTGAAGAACCGAGTAAGGGTAACCCCCCGAATTTCTGGCACCGAAAGCACAGTGAAAGTAACAGAACGCGGAAATCAGATCTGCAAATTTTACAATATGTCCAAAACCCGAAACAAGGGATCCCCAGGTAAAGGATCTTTACCATGGTGAGCTCGATTTACCCCCAAATGAGTTCGCTATAAAATAGGCAGATCGGTGAATGTAGCGACCGATCATTTGAATACGCATGTCCTGGCCACGTCACTCCCTCATGGAGGCTGTATCCTTGTGAGCTGGTGCTGCATGTGCAAGAGAATTGGCCCACGTCGCGGGGTACACCCAAAATTACATCTTCAGATTCTCTGCGATATTTGGTAGGCCCGACTTCAAGGGGCAGGGTACTTATCAAGTGGTTAGTAAGCCCGGTTATACCCCACTTAGGATACTTATAACCATGAATAGTGGGTTATAACCAGGCGTACTAACCACTTACTAATGCCCCGTGCAGCAAAAAAAGAAGGAGACCCAGAGAAATGGGGAAGGGCCCTTCAAAGCAAAGCCCTGCCATCTCGGAAGCTTGCACTCATTGCTCCAGCGCCACGTTTTTTGCACACCAAGCCCTGATCAAGCAAACTGCTCGAATCACTTTCAGGGGGTCCAGCAATTTTACATTTTGAGCTGAAACTCGCCTGGTATCCAAATGTTCTTTCAAAGAGGGAGCCACGGAGCTTCAAGCAGTTCTGTAAGAACATGCTAGGACATGTCAACACATCATATTCCAAATTTGGGCACTGCTACACTTGTCTTTCCCCAAGAACGGTCATAAACCACCACAAGTTCAGTGGGCCCAACCGATAATTTTCGGGGAAACCCGCCACATGCCGCGTACGCGTCCCTCAGCTGCAGAGGTTCATGTCTCGGAACTTCTTCATCCTGCCTCGGGGCGTCTGATCGAAGATCCGCGAGGCTCCGCGGTTGGGTGACCCTGCCATCCATGGTGGGAACCAACGAAATTCAGCTTCCCTCTACTTGGTGGTGGTCTGCTCACAGGCATCAGTTTTGTGATGGGAAGTGAGCCAGAGTCATTTCATCTCACTTTGACATCAAGCAGGTGGCGTTTTGCGTTCATATGGGGAGTGTGTGAGGAGGGGTTTTCTATTTCTACAACAGCCAGGGACCCGTTCAAATCCAAATGCAAACCACCAATCCGGACCCACTAAGAGTTTATTGAGAAATCCGTGATACCAAACATTGGACCATCCTGGACGAGTCCTCGGAACCACACAAAAGCACTTCGCCAACTTGCAGATGTTCCCAAATGGTGTTTCCAGCTGGGATTCAGGCAGTTGCCACCATTAAAACAATCTAGGTCCTGCAGTAGTACCCCTTTTTTCTGTAGTCTATTTTAGTAGGGGAACCCTCCCCCAAAAAAGTTGGCAAAAGGGCACTACTGGGGGACCTAGTTACCGTTCCGGATGGTCATCTAACTTGGGTCCCCTTGGGCCAGTGCTTTTTGTGAGAATCGGTTGAACCATGGATTTCGGGTGTTCCTTTGGTTGCGACTAACACGCCAGGGTCTATATATTTCCCATTCAGGCACCCGTGGGGTTTCGTTTGGTTTTGGTTCTTCTGGTGTGATGCTCGAGGACATAGAGGGGTCACCGGATTTCCCAAAGTCGCGAAATACGCTGGAGGGGTGTTCATCGAAAAACGATGGGTTTAATATGGGCTCCTTGGATAAAATATGGGTTTGTCTCAAGATACACTGCAAAATTTGCCCCCCCCCCCCCCCTGTGTTCTGTTTTTCAGACCATTGATCTCCCACAACATTTGGCTCAAGGGCCCCTTTTTGTAGAAACACAATCATCCGAGCGTGTGACAAAAGAGCCTCAGCAGGCCGCTTACAGGATTATCCACAAGACAATCCACCAGGGACAATCCATCCTCCAATCATCCATTACTGGCATATTGGACTCTCTCCGTCCGGAATAGATCCAGGGACCAACAACGACCTCAACTACCACAGGGTTCCAGTTCCCTCCGGGGATAGGCACCTGGGGCAGTTTTGTGGTAGCGGAGCGGGTTTTCCGCAGAGATCCAAGAGGATGTCATCCGATGGAGAAGGCTTCATGGAAGCCTATACAAGTATGGCAAAGCCGAGCTATACGGAGGAAACACTAAATTGATCGATGACCGCCAAGCAGCCGCCATCGTACGACGGAAAAGTCAGCTGGTTCAGGTACGAGGAACTCGTGGACGACTGGGTGACCATCACCACAGTAGAAGCATCCAAGCGAGGTCCATTGCTTAAGAGCAGACTCACGGGAGATGCTTACATGTACAAGGCCGTCCTCCAGAATCATCTTTTGCAAGATCCTGATGAAGGAGTCAACTATTTCAAGAACACGCTGAAGAAGTACTTTTTGAAAGGTGCGACCAACGTGTATCTGTACAGACTCCTCAGCTTCTTCAATCATCGGAGGCAGAACCAAGAGTTCCTCATTTTTACCTCACAATTTGAAATCCTACTTATGAGACTGAAGGCAGCATGGATGGACTTGATGTCAATCTTTACGGCACAGTCTCCATCATTTCGACAGTCCGTACAGGACGCAAATGTAAGAACAATTGCTCGACATCAGCAAGCAGCCGGTGTTCGAGCACCGCCTCCAGCCCTGCTCAATGAGGACGATCCGACAGTCCTCAGACAGTATATCCAAGGAATGCAGGACAGACAGCGAGACGCATTTCCCTGCGGGGATAATCTCATTGCACAGTTTTTCATTATTCAAAGTGAGTTGTCAGATCAGCAACGAGAAAGACTGACAAGTGCAATGTCATTAAGAAACATCTCACTTGAGAATTATTCCTATGAGATGCTGAAGACGCATTACCATGAACTCTTCATCACGACGAGGACATCGATCCAAGATCCATCCATCCGACGTCAAGGAGGCAGCCGAAGCAACACATTCTTCATCATCGAACAAGGTGAATACGAAGGAGAAGAAGGCTTCTGGGTTGAGGATGAAGAAGGACTTGAAGGATTCATGTCAAACAACGATGAAGAGACGTTCTGGGTCCTCGAGAGAACGATGCGTTCATAGCACGAAAAGTGTCGGGGCGGAACTTCAAGTTCAAGAAGAGAAAAGGAAAAGGAAAATCAGGAAACAAAAAGGGCAGTCACCAACGAGGTGGCTTTAAACCCTTCAGAAAAGAAAAAGCGGTTCTGGCGGAAAGGCCAATATGGCCAACGAAAACTATGATCCCTACGACCAGGCATATTGGGGAAAAGGCAAGGGAAAGAAGGGAAAGAAAGGAAAATCAAAATTCCAATATCCCTATGATGGAAACAAAGGTTATCCATCCTATGAGAGTGGCAAAGGAAAGAGCGGACAGGAGAAAGGAAAATCCAAGACGTTCGCAGCCACCGCAGAAAAGACGGAGGAGCAGCCCGCCATCCAGCAGACTGCACCATCCATAGAGCCTACCTATGCCGGTTGGACAGACCAAGATTGGGATCCATCATGGACATGGAATGAACAAGGCTGGTACTCATCCCATGAGACATCCAGCACAGGACAAGCGTTAATGGCATTCCATGATGCATATGAGCGTCCTGGGGAAAAGGCCATCCACGAGAAGCTGATCCAATCAGATACAGTTTCAGAACACAAGTAACAACAAATCACAGCCTTCTGGCAACAAAGCTGATGGCGCCTGTCATCAACCCTCAGCACAACCCGACCTATGCGATTCTGGACAATGGGACCAGATCTATGGGCAGCTGGCATGCAATCCATTACCCAGGGAACCAATGAAGGACATCATCCATGAGTACATCCCGGCCGAGACCAAGTTCACTTTTGCAAACGGAGAGACCGCCAGGGTAAATTGGACCCTGCATCTTCGATATCACACAACTCCTCCGTGCAGTACCAACATCGACGTCCTTGAACAAGGAACTGTACCGATCCTTCTCAGCATCAGCCAGATGCGGAACCTCTACATGACCATCGAGCACACACCTCAATGTGACAAGATCACATGCAAGGCCTTTGGCATGAACCGTCAAGCAGTTCCAGTATCCGGTGCAGGACATGCACTCGTCGATCTCGCTGGAGTTGCAAGAGTGAAGGCGCATGGAGAAATTGCTCACAAGGGCCTCATCAACTATGTCTATGACGATGATAACAGCATCAAGTTTCCCTCCGGGGATCTCACCAAGAGCGAGACTGTTTGTGCAGCAAAATCATCCGAGACAAAGGAGGACCTAGCAACTCCTAAGATCATTGGGTCTCAAAAGCAGGACCATTGGATCCTTGACAAGAAGAACAAGCAGCTCATCCGTGTGCACATCACGCCCCGAAAGGCGCTGTTCGCACCAAATGGAGCCAAGGAATGTCCAATTAATCCTGATCACATTAGCCGAGAACGTACCACGGAAATCATTGATGCGTCCGCAGGTGGAGATCCAGACATTTTGGAAGACAATTGGAGACTTACATCCCAGGCAACTAAACCAATGATTAACCTGTGGATAGGTAAGACCATTTTCACCTTCTCGGACAATTCGCTTAAGGACGAAGAAGCAGGTTCAGGATCGGCAGCAGACAGGATCATCGACAAGAGGGGCCGGTCGACTGTTGAGCCAGATCCTTTCGCACCATCCTCAGAAGAACCAACATCGCTTCCGCTTGCCCTAGGCAGAATCCACACTCCCGAAGAGTTGAAGAAACTCCACCTGCAGCATCATCACATGACAACAGATCAATTTCGATTCAGAACCCGAGCACTTCATTTGCCGAAATCAACATTCGATCTATTTGACAAGATCCGAAGTGAGTGTGAAGTTTGCCAAGTGGCAAAACATGCACCATCACGAAGCAAGACAAGCGGACTTCGAGCGGACACCTTTGGTGACATGACATTCATTGATCACTGTCAAGTTCCTCTTGGAACAGGAGAACACATCATTGTTTTTGTCATCCTGGATGGAGCAACAACATTGCTCACTGCAGAGGCAGTGACAACTACGCAAGAAGTCGAGAACATCACTGTCCTCAGGAACTATTTTGACCAGTACCACTTGCAGCCCAAATCAGTTGTCGCAGATCAAGCCTTCATGACAGATACATGGGAACATTTCTATCAGTCCCTTGACATCACACCGATATCCTTGGGACCGAATACACCATGGCCAAATCGAGCTGAAGCAGCAGTTCGACTCCTGAAGGCACAACTCAAGATCATGCTAAGTTCCATCAAAGCAGGTACTGCACCTGCAACACTGAAGAAAGTGACATACAGGCAGCTAGTGAAGGCCGCTGCAACTGTCAGGAATCAGACCGTCACCTACGGGGGAGTAACACCATTGGAGCTCGCATTCGGAAGACGACCAGCAGATCTCATCCAACTCGATGTCGCAACACCAACTCAGTTGACGATTGACAGGAATGAAGAAGAGATGACAGCCATCCAGGTCAAGCAGCTGTCAAAGCAAGCTTTCCAAGAAGCACGTCAATCCGAGGACATCCGACGAGACCTTGCTCAAAATCTCCGAATGAGTTCAAAGCCTCTTCAGGTGAAGGACAAGGTATTCTACTGGCAGGAAGACAAATCCAAGATTCGTTCCGAAGGTCATTTCCATTGAAGGAGCGATGGTAGGACTTGATCTTGGGACTCGACTCATCAAGGTTAACATGACGAAGCTCAGGAAGGATGAGACAATCCCTCCGGGGAAACCCGGAATTGACCTTCTGTTACCTGAAGAGCGAGAATCCTTGCAGAAGGAGCAACCAGGCTCCTCTGTAGATACCAAGAAAAAGGAATCATCCGCACCAGCTCGTAAGCCAAGATCCTCAGTGCCATTACGTATCGCGGGAAAAACAACTCCAAAACCAGTACCCCATCCAGCAGAGAACATGTTCGTCGAGG